TCAAAGTGTCGAAATAAATGGAACTTTTTCGTTAATTCTGCCAAAATTTCCAGACGTCTGGATTTTCAGAAACCACCCCCCCTCCCCCTGTCCGGACTTGTCCGAAATTCCAAAACCACCCCCCTCCCTATTTGCCGGACGTCCTAAGTAGATAGCATTAAAGTGCAAAAATGCACATTTGGGGTATTGTATTTTGGGCTGTGGACGTTCCAGAAGCTTCTATAGGGCCAGGGGTTGTTCACACTTCACATATTACGTAATCAGCCGAGGGGGGAGGGGGGTTTCCAAATGATTACGCGCAAGTGTAATTTTAACACAATAGCTACCTTATAGTTATCGCGGACCTTATTTGGACGGACATTAATTGAACGCCGTGCTGGAGGCCCTGACGTGCATCTTAAACATCCTGTTAAAGCCCGTTCATTTAAGGTCCGTCCAAGTTAAAGTCTGCTAGCAGTTAGCAGCACTCAGCAGTCAGCAGCAGTTAACAGTAGTCAGCAGCAGTTAGCAGCAGTTTCTTTGCACTATGGCACCCCTGTGTATATAATAGATTCTAGGCTGCGTATTTATTAAAACGCAAACGGCCGTTCACCAATCGATAAGTATAATATAATATACATTATCCTTGACGTGTAACCCAAACCACCAAACGTAAAGATCCCAATTCAATTTGTAACGGATGTAAGTGTGAAGTGGCCATCTACTTAGTACGTCCACCAAAATCGCAGATTTTCAGAACACCACCCCCTCCCGGCCCCCTGACCGGGTGTGTCCGAATTTTCAAAACCACCCCTACCGGTACCCCCTCCCCCGGACGTCCGGATTTCCAGCTACTTTCAGCTACTCCAGCTAGTACAAATAAAATCAACTCAAATTCATTGTTAATAAAATTCAAAGAGTTGAAATAAAATTCAAAGAGTTGAAATAAAATCCAAAGAGTTGAAATAAATCAAAATGGGACTTTTCCGTTAATTTTGCCAAAATTTCCGGACGTCCGGATTTTCAGAAACCACCCCCCCCCCCCCCCCTCCCCCTGTCCGGACTTGTCCAAAATTCCAAAACCACCCCCTCCCTATTTGCCGGACGTCCTATAGATGGCCCCTTAGGAGTCAATATATTTTGATGTTGCCATTGGTGGCAAGTCCCCCTAGTCATACATCGTAGTCCGATAGTTTCACTGCGTCCTAATATGATTATGAATACAGAAATGAAAATACAACTTTTTCTGTCAGTTCTGTCACATTGTGCACTATTATTATAAAAGTGTACAATGTACACTCAATTGTTCTGTGCTGCAGAGTACACACAGTCAGTACACAGTAGGAAGTGAATTGCTAGTTTTCTCTGTTGTTAGTGGTGTTATGTTCGATTTGCGTGATCCTCCGTGCTGTCTTGTAATCTTCTGTCTTGTAATCTTCTGTCTTGTAATCTTCTGTCTTGTAATCTTCTGTCTTGTAATCTTCTGTCTTGTAATCTTCTGTCTTGTAAACTTCTGTCTTGTAAACTTCTGTCTTGTAAACTTCTGTCTTGTAAACTTCTGTCTTGTAATCTTCTGTCTTGTAATCTTCTGTCTTGTAAACTTCTGTCTTGTAAACTTCTGTCTTGTAAACTTCTGTCTTGTAATCTTCTGTCTTGTAATCTTCTGTCTTGTAATCTTCTGTCGTGTAATCTTCTGTCTTGTAATCTTCTGTCTTGTAATCTTCGTCCTAATATCAATTTAGTAAAAACGATAAAATAATTAATTGGCGAGTGTTTGGGGCACAGTAGAATTGTTGATAACAGTAACACTGCAGTGTTATGGATGACCTAATCATGCAGGTGAAGCTGTAGCATTGGGTCATCCATCTCCTTTTAATCCAGATATTTACTATACGTTAGGCCTTAGGGCTTAGGGTGTACTTTTATCCCTAATTTTTTACTAGCATAATGTTTTGTTTTGTCTGTTTTCCTTTCACAGGACGATTATTAACAGCTATTGTTGCACAATAACTGTTAATAATCGTATTCGTCCTGTAAAAGGAAAACAGATAATTGTGCTAATATCATTGATTTATCATAATGTACATTATCAATTATCATAATGTAATATTCATTGTATTAATGTTTTCTAACAATGTTGAAATGTTATGTTAAATGTTTATTGTTTGTGTAATTCTCTTTCAATTATGTTATTAGTTGTGTTATTAGTTTGTAATATTAGTTTGTGTCATTAGTTTGTGTGATTAATTTGTGTTATTAATATGTTACTGGAGTGATATTTTCAATACGTTACATTGTCTAGTGTATGTAGAAAATGTTTACATTGTCTAGTGTATGTAGACAATGTTTACATTGTCTAGTGTATACATTGTACGTCACAGTACATTGTACGTTGTTCTACTCGGAGAAGGATTTTGAGTAGATTGTGGGCCAATTCTGACTAAATAAAAGTGTACAGTAATAAATTAAATTTCTTATCTAAGGCTTAGATAAGACATTTAGATTCTAAGCAACTGTATAATTTACTAACGTAGTAACTAGTAACGTTGTCATGTGGCACACCTGTGCACTGAACTCTTTTGGTTTTGTAACTTAATCCAGACCTAGAGTAACTTAATAACTAACTTAAGTTCCCGTCTTGTATTTCTCATCTTACAATTTCTCGTTTCTCTGTCTTGTTGACTTTTAGCATTCGACTGGGTCACTGGGTGCAAAGATTTGTGGCATCAGATATTCTAGGTAACTTTGATCTATAATAATAGGGTCCCTTGGGAAAAGTCTGTATATAGCAATTTAAAGTTTGGTATCTGCATTCGCGTTGTACCCGAACTTATCTCAGATTTAGATTTTGTCCGGGACCTCAACCTCATGGCTCCACATCAATCAACTGACCTATTGGTCACGACTCACGTTGGACAAAATGTCGTCAAATCGGTGAAATTTCTGTTCAGGAAATATCATATATTTGAAAATGGGACAGAAATGAGAAAACATGATTTCATACATTTTGTAACGTTTACTGTGTAATGCTCCCTTCGGTCGGAATCAAGCTTCCTATATAGTCATCTACAGTCTAGCTTATAGATCAACTTTATCTAAAACATCCGATACCATACGTTTTTTCACAGATTAAACCTTAATTCGGTTAAAATTCACATAAACTACAGGGGGTGGGGGGCTATATCAAATATCGATACCGTATAAGTGACAGTGTACGCTATCACATGATTACCCATCAATTTTGTGAACGAGATAAACAATTTCTTGATAACTTCATCATTTTAAATTCGTTTTGCGTCATTCTTTCAGATCATATTCCAAATTTAATGACCTATTACAATATGTTAAAATGTAGTTTCTAGCATCTGCTAGTATAAGTAATTCGATATTGATTGGGTGTGGCCTCGAAAGTCGAAAGTTTCACATTTTGGCGACAGAATCCTCGAATGAGTAGTTACAGTATACCATCTGCAATGTTACATATTGTCTTGAATATGAAACATGGCTACATTATACACGATTTTACACGATTTGAAAATGTATTTTCTGCACAGCAAAGTAAAGTTAAAATAATTAACAAAATAAAAATAGTTGCTTCACTAACATTGACATTCCAGTTGATGATATAATTTGATGTATAATTTAGATAAATTTCCATACTAAGTCTCACTTCGATGTATCTTTTTTTGTCTATTTTATTATCGAAGCGTGTAATAAATGTTAGAATTCATTTATCATTTATTTGTTTTCAGGCTGTCATTCTTGTATTTGTTTAGGAAACAATTATAGTCGTTATATATATGTTACATTGGATCAATTCTTTTGACACAAATTCTTATTTTTATCAGCATGTTTAAATACCCCGCTTTTTCTCAATTCCAGTGAAAATGTCCAAACTGTTCAAGTTAGTCAGTGAAAATGACTGGGCGCAGTCTCTGAAGAGTCTCAGTAGAACAAATTCCACCAGTTCCATTTGTTCTGTAGCTTACTATCCTGCCCTAAGTTGGGAACTGAACAATATTAGGTAGCCCACGTGTAGCAGTAGCACACGTGTAGCACACGTGTAGCACACGTGTAACGCACGTGTAGCCCACGTGTTTAAGTGTAAAATGTGATATTTATTGTTTCTCAGCCTGATTTACGTTTTTTAATTCTTGGATTACTGATCTAATTTTTAAACCAGAAATCAGAGTAAGGATATTATGTTTCCAATACTCGCGTACACGAAACTATTCCGTGAACAATAAACATCTGTATTGTGAATTGATCCTTATCTATGTATTTTATGAGATCTAAATCTTAACTTAACCAATGTAAATGATTTTTGTCAAATCAGCTCAATATTAAGTTCAATTAGATAGGACTGATGTAGATTGGTAAAGAAAGTTGTCAGTGATAACTGATACGTAGCCAGAGAAACGAGTATTGGTATGAGATCTTGAACAGTGTCTGAAAATAGTTCAGACCTCTTATATAAGGTGGATACAAGTTGAGCAGCTATTATTTGGAAGAGTGCCGAAAAGAGGAAAACAAGTCAGATTCTGAGACTCAGAGATCATGTCAAGGTTGGGAGGGGGAACAAACAATTTCACTTTCTCAGTGGAGACTGCCTCCAGTTCCAGTAGTTCAGGGTTCGGGGACGGCCAACTGGAGCCCTATCCTGCTTTAGAGTTGGAACTCCTCCGAGTCAGGTTAGTTCAGGGTTCGGACTTCAGGACGGCCAGCTGGAGCCCTATCCTGAAGCCCTAACCACATTCAGAGGATTCGATGAACTGTAAACGGGTAAACCACTTCTCCAGCTTCCATCGTTTTGCCTTTGGTTCACATTGCACTTCACTTTTTTTGGCCATTTTAAACCTGAACCTCTATGCGTATTGCGTACACCACTAAGCTATATTATTGGACCGCTCCCAATAAATCGCTCGCCTCAATTTTATGAAAATTCTTGTGAAAAGGCCCTGAGGGAATGAAAGTAATATGAGTCGGTATATTTGTGGACGCTGATTCCTAATCACACCCCCCCCCCCCCCCACATGACGTAGGGTAGAAATGCTTCCCTTCAGAGTTATGCCTATGGTGTATGGGCAAAAACTGTTTTGGTCACGTGACTAGCTAGTTAAACACGAATTCGAAAACCATAAAACCAAAGTCACGTGATAATTTTAAGGCGAGCGATCATTAGTAAGACTAAGAGCCGGACACCTACTAAAAGTAAAATTATACGTAACCTACTCACACAGTCACCCAAAGATAATTACTACGTAGTTCGTTAATACTATAATAGTAATACTAATTAACTAATAGCTGTTGATCGATGTTTGCTATTGATTCATGTTAAGTGTTAACTGTTGTCTGTTAAGTACGCAATGCTCAAGACCAAAATCTAATTTGATAAACTGCATATACCTCCTATGTCTTTAAGTCATCATGAATCTGTCACCTTTGTTCTGTTGTTAAGTTTCACCATTACTTTCACTTTCACTTTCACAAAATTCTCCTCCCCAGATGGTATCACCCTAATCTGAACCGTCACGCAGCAGAGCACATCCTACTGGGAACTGACAAGGTTGGGAGCTACCTGATGAGGACCTACAGTAGAGGAGGACCTGACGACTTAACTGTCTCTGTCAAGTTAGTTTATTATTGCAGTTAATTAATTAATTGTAGTTAATTAATTCCAGCGTTGCTTTAACACGTGATGACATGATTTAACAATCAGATTGCACTCATTTTGTTTAATTTAGGACCACTCACATCAGCTCCCGGCAACAGTAAGATCTATCGGTCATTCAAATAATTGATCATAAATCGACATGGCTGATCGAATATTTAAATCAGGTATCCCGAGGATGTAAAACATTTCCCCGTGTTATGGCAGGGGGATGGCTACCTATTCGGAAAACATAAGTTCGACAATTTAAGGAAACTTCTGGAACATTTCGAAAACATTCCCGCTATCGGTAAGTAAGGTTACAATTTAAACACAGAGATTACAGAGATTACACAGGTATTACAGATACACAGAGATTACAGTTACACAGAGGTGCTCTTCCTCTTTGCAAATTACAACAGTTTCAGCTCATTTAAAACTAATAACTAGCAGCAAGTTAATAAATTACTTAACAGGAACTGCAGACTTAGCGAGCACTTCCGGAGGTTATCAAGTGGAACTGCGCTACCCCTACCCACGGGAGGTGCACACTGACGACAAGGGTAAGTAGTCAGAGTAGAGCGCTGTGATTGGTCAGTAGTCAGAGTGGAGCGCTGTGATTGGTCAGTAGTCAAAGTGGAGCGCTGTGATTGGTCAGTAGTCAGAGTGGAGCGCTGTGATTGGTCAGTAGTCAGAGTGGAGCGCTGTGGTTGGTCAGTAGTCAGAGTGGAGCGCTGTGATTGGTCAGTAGTCAAAGTGGAGCGCTATGATTGGTCAGTAGTCAGAGTGGAGCGCTGTGATTGGTAGTAGTCAGAGTGGAGCGCTGTGATTGGTCAGTAGTCAGAGTGGAGCGCTGTGATTTGTCAGTAGTCAGAGTGGAGCGCTGTGATTGGTCAGTAGTCAGAGTGGAGTGCTGTGATTGGTCAGTAGTCAGAGTGGAGCGCTGTGATTGGTTTGGAGGACTTCGCCGCTTCGACGCGCCGCGGGAACTAGCATTCTTGCTTCGCAGATCGTCGATCGTTGACATCGTCAACCAATGATTGGTCAGTAGTCAGAGTGGAGCGCTGTGGTTGGTCAGTAGTCAGAGTGGAGCGCTGTGATTCATGGTCAGTAGTCAGAGTAGAGCGCTGTGGTTGGTCAGTAGTCAGAGTGGAGCGCTGTGATTTGTCAGTAGTCAGAATGGAGCGCTGTGATTGGTCAGTAGTCAGAGTAGAGCGCTGTGATTGGTCAGTAGTCAGAGTGGAGCGCTGTGATTGGTCAGTAGTCAGAGTGGAGCGCTGTGATTGGTCAGTAGTCAGAATGGAGCGCTGTGATTGGTCAGTAGTCAGAATGGAGCGCTGTGATTGGTCAGTAGTCAGAGTGGAGCGCTGTGATTGGTCAGTAGTCAGAGTGGAGCGCTGTGATTGGTCAGTAGTCAGAGTGGAGCGCTGTGATTGGTCAGTAGTCAGAGTGGAGCGCTGTGATTGGTCAGTAGTCAGAGTGGAGCGCTGTGATTGGTCAGTAGTCAGAGTGGAGCGCTGTGATTGGTCAGTAGTCAGAGTGGAGCGCTGTGATTGGTCAGTAGTCAGAGTGGAGCGCTGTGATTGGTCAGTAGTCAGAATGGAGCGCTGTGATTGGTCAGTAGTCAGAGAGGAGCGCTGTGATTGGTCAGTAGTCAGAGTGGAGCGCTGTGATTGGTCAGTAGTCAGAGTGGAGCGCTGTGATTGGTCAGTAGTCAAAGTGGAGCGCTGTGATTGGTCAGTAGTCAAAGTGGAGCGCTGTGATTGGTCAGTAGTCAGAGTGGAGCGCTGTGATTGGTCAGTAGTCAGAGTGAAGCGCTGTGATTGGTCAGTAGTCAGAGTGGAGCGCTGTGATTGGTCAGTAGTCAGAATGGAGCGCTGTGATTGGTCAGTAGTCAGAGAGGAGCGCTGTGATTGGTCAGTAGTCAGAGTGGAGCGCTGTGATTGGTCAGTAGTCAGAGTGGAGCGCTGTGATTGGTCAGTAGTCAAAGTGGAGCGCTGTGATTGGTCAGTAGTCAGAGTGGAGCGCTGTGATTGGTCAGTAGTCAAAGTGGAGCGCTGTGATTGGTCAGTAGTCAAAGTGGAGCGCTGTGATTGGTCAGTAGTCAGAGTGGAGCGCTGTGATTGGTCAGTAGTCAGAGTGAAGCGCTGTGATTGGTCAGTAGTCAGAGTGGAGCGCTGTGATTGGTCAGTAGTCAGAGTGGAGTGCTGTGATTGGTCAGTAGTCAGAGTGGAGCGCTGTGATTGGTTTGGAGGACTTAGCCGCTTCGACGCGCCGCGGGAACTAGCATTCTTGCTTCGCAGATCGTCGATCGTTGACATCGTCAACCAATGATTGGTCAGTAGTCAGAGTGGAGCGCTGTGGTTGGTCAGTAGTCAGAGTGGAGCGCTGTGATTCATGGTCAGTAGTCAGAGTAGAGCGCTGTGGTTGGTCAGTAGTCAGAGTGGAGCGCTGTGATTTGTCAGTAGTCAGAATGGAGCGCTGTGATTGGTCAGTAGTCAGAGTAGAGCGCTGTGATTGGTCAGTAGTCAGAGTGGAGCGCTGTGATTGGTCAGTAGTCAGAGTGGAGCGCTGTGATTGGTCAGTAGTCAGAGTGGAGCGCTGTGATTGGTCAGTAGTCAGAATGGAGCGCTGTGATTGGTCAGTAGTCAGAGTTGAGCGCTGTGATTGGTCAGTAGTCAGAGTGGAGCGCTGTGATTGGTCAGTAGTCAGAGTGGAGCGCTGTGATTGGTCAGTAGTCAGAGTGGAGCGCTGTGATTGGTCAGTAGTCAGAGTGGAGCGCTGTGATTGGTCAGTAGTCAGAGTGGAGCGCTGTGATTGGTCAGTAGTCAGAGTGGAGCGCTGTGATTGGTCAGTAGTCAGAATGGAGCGCTGTGATTGGTCAGTAGTCAGAGAGGAGCGCTGTGATTGGTCAGTAGTCAGAGTGGAGCGCTGTGATTGGTCAGTAGTCAGAGTGGAGCGCTGTGATTGGTCAGTAGTCAAAGTGGAGCGCTGTGATTGGTCAGTAGTCAAAGTGGAGCGCTGTGATTGGTCAGTAGTCAGAGTGGAGCGCTGTGATTGGTCAGTAGTCAGAGTGAAGCGCTGTGATTGGTCAGTAGTCAGAGTGGAGCGCTGTGATTGGTCAGTAGTCAGAGTGGAGTGCTGTGATTGGTCAGTAGTCAGAGTAGAGCGCTGTGATTGGTCAGTAGTCAGAGTGGAGCGCTGTGATTGGTCAGTAGTCAGAGTGGAGCGCTGTGATTGGTCAGTAGTCAGAGTAGAGCGCTGTGATTGGTCAGTAGTCAGAGTGGAGCGCTGTGATTCATGGTCAGTAGTCAGAGTGGAGCGCTGTGATTGGTCAGTAGTCAGAGTGGGACGCTATTAATGTCTAGGTGCAAAACGTTAACTTGTGAAATGACTTTAATATTCACCGAAGAGTCGTTATAGTTTGGAGAGATAATCTAGCACAGCGCCACACATATTTGTAGAAAAACTTTTTTACGGTTTTCATTCCAATCGACCAATCTGTTTGTTAAAATAGTAAAATTTTTTTGTAGATTTTTACTTATCATGATCGTTTGTGATTGTTGGTTTGTGAAATTTATTCATTTTTGGCGAATCTCAATGCTTAATGTTATGGATATAAGAGTTATGGTTGGTAAACGATAGTATATCTGTTCATTTAGCAGTCGAGACATATGAGCTTCCGTGTTCCGACGCTTCACAACTTAGCTAGTCTGAACTTTGTCATAGATTATTCAATTTAAACAGCTGCCAGGTTATATAAAACTTGACCGATCACATATCTGATATTTCCTTTTTCTACAGAAACTTACATGCAGATCGAAGAGCACATTGAGACCGGAGCTCGCCCGGTCGACATTCACTCCCCCACCGGTCAACTCAGAACAAGTGACCCTGACTTTGAGATAAGGAAAAAGTCAGGGTACCTAACTAAACGTGGAGATAACGTCAAGGTAAAACTACAAGAACTCATGCTTAGGTCTTTTGTATGCATTACTTTTCATTTGTTAGATTAAACCAGGAATACTCCTGCAACTTATGTCAGAACAGGAAGATACAATGCTTAGTTAGTCTCAGGTTATCGACTATCGTTATAATAATATTGTCAGAACAGGACGATATAATGCTTAGTTAGTCTCAGGTTATCGTTATAATAATATTGTCAGAACAGGACGATATAATGCTTAGTTAGTCTCAGCTGTTATCGTTATAATAATATTGTCAGAACTGGACGATATAATGCTTAGTTAGTCTCAGGTTATGGTTATAATAATATTGTCAGAACTGGAAGAGCAGATGGTTTGTGATACAGAAGCACTGGTTACGGTACTATGTTTCCAACGAGGCCACCAACCCAAGGGGTGTTGTTGACCTATCTAAAGCTCTGGATTGTAACGAGGACGATTCTTTTAGCAACGGGTTCACGTGAGCAGATACCGCTGATTTAGGAGTTTTTAGTTTCTGTTACAAACATTAATACCTTGTCTTGGTATGGGATAAAATTGCAATTTCTTGAGTTGGACAGACCCGATTCATTAATCAAAATAATCCGAACAATTAGTTTATTAGTACGTTATCATTTATACAGTAAATGGTAAAACCCCAATTATATGTGATTCAGCTGATTTAAGCAATTTTTTCCATAACATTTCAGAAATTAAATCATCTTATTTCGAACTTTCTAGCAACATAACTGATAACTCGGTTTATTGCTCAACACTAAAAAATGTGAAGTGCAGAATTTCTGATTTTGTTTTCCGCGCGACAATTCAGATATCTGAATTGTGTGTTTCGGAGAATCAATCTCCTAATCCTATGTAAGAAGCAGTTTTCTATTTAAATGGTGTTTAGCAGTTAACACTTTTCTCTAATAATAACTGCGTATCTGACAGGATTACAGTCCGAAAGAGAATATACTACATCCAGGCCGCCACACCAGAAGATCGAAAAGCTTGGGTTGAAATGATTTGCTGGAAACTGGTAAGCTAAATAGACGATAGAAGTTTACATTTTTAGTAAAACTGGTGATACTATGGTACTTAATTTGCTTCTGATATCAAACTTTAGGAGGTGGAGATATCATCACATTATGCTGTATATAAAGCTATGTTATAAGCCCCAACGTATGGGTACTGACTTTTGCATATTTCTGTCACCAGTCACATAACTTAGAATTGATAGTTTAACTTTAACCTAATTCAGGACTACTACAATCCTTGTCGTTCAGAAGTTGAGAAACCGAAACCACTTACTTCCCCGAAAGGGAGATGATGATAGACACTGAAAAGTTGCTTAAAAGACGACAAAGCTCCTGATCTTGATTATTATTAAGATGGTCAGATAATTTATCAGTAGTTAACTTAAAACTTATACGAGTGATCTGAGACTGTACTTGAAATGCCGGCAAGCACTGCTTTCCCACGACAGTTAAATTTGACATACATATGTAATATGTATATGGATGTAATACCAACTTAAATGAGTATAGAGTGGCATATTCATTGTTCAGTCAGTGATCGAGAGATATGCTTACTAAAACACAAGGAAATATTTTAAAAGGTAAAATTTCCAAATCGTTGAAATTACCTCCTTGTTCGATATATTTTTCAGTTTTACATTTTGACCTTGTGAATTATAGGACAGTAACATTAACCATAAATTATAAAAAGATGATATTTTTTACTAAAACCCAAAATTGGGCAGAGTGGACCGTAAATTTTCCCATTCATGATCATCCTCAATTGATGATATTTGATATTGGATTGGAGGCAGTATTCGCAATTCGGCACTAACGATGCGTTACAATTTGCAGGCCGTGGAATTGGATGAATGAGATAAGCGACAGACCGATTTCAGTCTCGGTATCATTTTGCTTTTGGGTTCACCTAACCATGTGCTTTCGCGCCGCTGCGGGCGCGCTTGTTTCACAAGTCAAGAAAACCGCCGTGAGGCGGGCGCGCGCTACTGCAAGCGCAAGGGCTCTGGATAGAGCAACTTTTGGGTACGTGCAGTAACGGTGATTTAAATTGATATCAATATCACTTCTTTTTGTTCGAAAAAAGGAGACACTGGCGACGGTTCACTCTATCCAATTTTGAGGTTAGGTTAAGAATCAATTAATTTGGGGTCATAATTAGCTGAGTGGTTTGCATTTACAATTTACAATATTTTTTCCTTTTATAAAATGTTGTTTATTATTGTTTTTTTAATGATGAGTACTCAGTACAGAGTTTAACTTTAATATATGCCTTGCTTGATACATGTTGCGTATCCCAAAAAGTGCATGCGCATTGACATACGTTGCATGCCACTTTAGTGGCATGCAACGTATGTCAATGCCTTACGGCCGCGCTCAGCCTGTCATTCCGCCTAATCTGTTCTGTTTATGAACATGATAGCCTGAGGTCCCCAGGTAATAAGTCAACTTGAGGCCAAATAGGCTTTCAATTTGAAATGAAGCAGTCACGTCTGACGTCGCGGCGCGCGCTATCGCGCTACTTCAAAGAAATTTAGACGAGTAATATTTGTCAAAACTTATTGGCGCGCGTCTGTTTACGAATGTTACTTGTAATTGTATAAATTTCTTCGAAGTAGAGCGCACCGCTTTTTTTTACTGGGCGACGGTCATCCTCATGTCATTCCGCTGTTCACCTAACCATTTGATTGACGATGTCAATCCTTCGCATCCTTCGCATCTCGCCGATCTGCTTAATCTGTGGTTGCGAGAAGCATTATTTGATGCGCGCGCGACCCAGTAGTGCATCGCGCTACAACCTAACCATGTGCTTTCGCGCCACTTCGGGAGTGCTTGTTTCACAAGTCAAGAAAAGCACCTATCCACGAACCCCGATGGGAATGTTCGTGCGCGCGTGCGCAGTGCTGACAACAGCGTCTATGTAGCGCAGGTAGTCTTGGCACTTCTCCCTCCAGTATGCAGTAACCACTTTAGCTTTTCAGATTTCTATAGTGCATAGTGACAGTGTATAGGGGTTAATTAGGTATAAACTACAGTACAGCTGTACTTACACCTACATTCACAAGCATGCAAGCTCACCTGGTCCAATGAGCGGGAAACGGAGGACAAGGTCTAGGGTGACGTCATTGTCACGTGACCTCATAGGCTTATAATCAAGTGACCTCAGACCCAATCAATGATCAATTAGGTTTGGGCATGATTTGATACATGTTTCGTATCCCAATATCAGAGATAATATGCCTTTTTCCGCCCGCGCGCGAAAAGTTGCATGCAACGTATGTCAAGGCATGATCAGCCCCCTGTCACCCGATCTTGAGGTGACGTACGACACCTCGTTTACGTTTACGCAATCATGATGTCTGAAAGGCTACACACGTCGCATATGAGGACAAAATCATTGGGTGGGTTCATATCATGGCTAGATAGAACCCGACCCTTTTTACCGCCGTGCATGAGGCGGGCGCGCGCTACTGCAAGCGCGAGGGCTTTGGATCCCGGCGCGAGCTCTTCACTCAGGAAGCGCAAACACGTCAATATAAAAAGTTTCGCGCCCTACGAACTTCGGTAGACCTTAATGCTCGTTACACGTGGTTCACTGCGCGTGCAGTGTCTTCAGTGCTATACAACATAAATCGAATTAGTACTGAAAGCTATTTGTACAGGGATTTTCTTATCGATACTGCAAATGACTCATCTTTAAAAAGACACGCTCGACTATTACACAACATATTATTATTATGCATATGTAATTAAATAATTTTTATATAATGTATGTCTTACTTAAACTTTAAGCTTGAAGCTATGAATATTTGTAAATTGATTTTTAATTTTGTCCTGAAACATTGTTTGTTCTTGGAAAGATTTTACAATTGAATTAACTTGGTACCATATGGTTTAGACTTAGTTGATCTTATTTATTATCGATAGTTATACGTTACAAATTATTATACTATGACTCCAGCTCAGCGCGCGTCTTTGTAGGTTATCAGTTATAAACCTACAAATATTTGTATCCCTTAATAAACTCCAATATATTACACAGTACATCAAAGGATAATGATCTCATTGAATAGAGTCACATAATACCATGACAAAAATTTTGACAAATGGATAGGCTTTTGACAAAAATTTTATCCTGTCAAAGTCCCAAAAATGATAAATTCACGAAATGGGGTAGGGATCATGTTTTTAAAATTTTTTACGAAAGTTTTTTACAGCATATTGTTTATCACATTTTTTTACACAAGATTTGCATCATACCGTAATTTTTTTTCTAATATTTTGATAAAAAATAATTTTTATTTGGTTTTCAAAGGACGCACTACACTACGCCGCGCATTTTAAGAGATTTAACAAAAATCGTTGTCGCCTGGTTTTTATCATAATTTTATTGCCCATTTGATCTTGTCGCGTTTTGGTCGCATGTTTTTCTGTTCCCACTCCTAGCACAAAGCTTCAATGCTACACCGTATTATATTTAGTTTGATAGTAGTTGTTTCGTAGAATGAAAGTGAGCTTACTAATTAATCTTGAGAGGTTATTTAATGTAACTGAGTTAGTGCTACTTCCTTTTGGCTTTGATGTGTTTGAGACTTAAAGAAACTTGTTCTAGTAGGGTAATGATAGTACAGTGGATGTCTCTTAGAGTAAATATCTTTTTACACTTATAGATCTGGATAGAATTTGAAAGTTTTACTCTTTTATCAGATCACTTCACTCATGCAACTTATCGAAATTACAATAAACTATTCAAGCCTTGTTTAAATGTGTTTCTGTGCTAGAAAAAGTATACTTATGTGACACTTCCATGGATCAAATCGTGTGAATGGCACGGTAAAGAACAAACACATTCCAAGCTAGAGCTCCAGATCTGCCTTAAATTTCAGTAATGGCCTTCAATCACATTTTCTAGAAAACTGGTGATATGTGATTCTAAGTTGGTCCCACTTATTTTGATTATCTTAGTTTAGCTGTAATATCGAATTCGAAGAGCTGTTATTATTATTCCTTGAACTGCAGGTGTTTTGAAAGTATTTGCAATCTATCTACAACCTCATCCCTGCCCCTATAATGGAGTAGATCATGTGTTTTGTTAAAATGTTTTTGAAAAAATTATTGGTAGCAATGAATTGTGCTCTGCCAATTGCAACACTTAAAATTTGATTGTGCTCTGCCAATTGCATCACTTGATTTAATTGAATGTATATATACTGTTTGACACACTTTTCATTTCTATATTCCTGGTGCAGAAACAGACCTAACTCTATGTATATTGTTTATTCTGATTATTGTAAAGCTCTAGCTCTAAGCAGTTAGCCAGAATGTTAACTTTTAAGTATCATTATTACTAGCTGAACCAGAATTTTCCTTGGGACGAGATTCTTTCCTGGCAAACATTATTATATGCTGGTATAATAACGACCGATTCTTCAGACGAAAACATGTAAGTACTTTGTTCAAGCTTGATGTGACCTTTTTTATCTTACATACATATGACTGCTTTAGCTCAGCCTTTATTAATAAAATAAAACCTCTTACCAAGCGATTGTGGAGAGAAATGACAGCTCTATTCACCATAATCATTACACAACTATATAACAGTACTGCCAAGTGACTTTAATTTGTGCAAGAATTATTACTGATAAAAATCTAATAAACACTTAAAACTGTGTTGTATAAACATTAAACACACTTATTAAACATTAAACACACGTATTTATTGACAGTTAACATTAAGGATGGTTGATACCTGTTAAATTCATTATGCTAATCTGTTTGTTGTTTGTTTGTTTGTATCGGAAACTGACTAAACTCATTTTTGAGTGTGAATACGGGTGGTACCTGCAAATGTGTTCATTAAACATTTAGATTTTAGAGTTCTGTAATACTGCAGTTACAATTGTGCTAGAGTATTTTTAGTATATACGGTCAATAACTACATGATTCCAAAATTTGTAATCTCCAACTTTCTGCACAATGTACTGGGGAAAAAAAGGAAAAGTATATAAAATCAACGATTTAATGTTAGGAAGTTAAATTTAATTCCCTTGTTTCTTAAGTCAGCTTTAAAGTCGGAAAAACAAAATATGTAGGGTCGATACCAAACCGATTATTGAGCGACGATAGCTAAATAGTTGGTTCCTGGGATACAGAGTCCTCCTGATTCTTCAGTCTCTGAGTGTGGTTGTTGCTATTGTTCAGTTCTGTCCATATTTCCTCGTGTTATGTTTCAAAGTTTCGGAGTGTCATGTTGTCCTGGCACTGAGTTCTGTCTACATGTTATGATCAAAGTTTTGGGGTTCATGTTGTCAATCCTCTGACGAAATGATTATAAAATAGTGATAGATTTAATTAAGGAAAGGGCTAATTTGTGGAGCTAAACTGTCCAAGTGACGAAGTTTAACTGCCGTGTTGCTGGGTAGTGGGTACATTATGCTCATCTACTTACCAGTTCATTTACAGCCAATTCTTATCATTATGACTTAAGCAAATGGATATTTTCAATGCAACATTCAAACATCGTTTTTAGGCAAGATTGGGCGATTTGGTTTTGATCGTTGGATTAATCACCCAAGGTTACTTGGATAATAATTTGAAATCATTCGAATCACTGATTAAGTGCCAGGATCATGCATCAGCCAGATCTTAAAATAGTCATAACTCGGCTTATTTGTAAACAACCAACTTGAAACTATAGGAAAGCACTTGAATTATCAAACTGTCTGGAAATTTTTGAGTTCCTAACTCAATTTATGGTGACAATTGGGATAAAGAGGGAGTGTCGTGCCAAACATCTGTAATTGATGAAATTTTACGAGATTTTCAGGAAATCTTAACATTTTTGAGTTAATTAGTATGACCTACATCTGCATTCTCTAAGCAATTCTGAATGGGGGTTTTGTGTGGGTAGTTACTTCTGGGACACCCTGTAGAATCTCACTAGTGACAATATACCTTGGTTCTAGAGAGTTTAAGAATGTAACCGCAGTCCGCAACGTTCTGAAAAACTACAAGCCTCAATTTATAAATAAGTGATCTATACTTTAAAAAAAAAATTCAAATAGTTGATTTAGTCATTTACTTTTGAAACACTGAGACAGTCTAAGTTCTTTAGCTTCTGATTCGACAGTTGGATCGCAAAATTATTTAAAGCGTGCTAATCTGCTATCTAATTCAAGTCTAATTTGTTGAATCGTTGCTCCCGTCCCAGTTCCCTTGGACTGAGGAGTGAGTACTGTCAAACACCCAGTTACACAATGACACAGTTATTACGTTACGCATATCAATTAACAGTATTGAGTTGCTAGCTTTGACCTTTTCCTATTGATAGATTACCCTGAAACCTTCTATAGAATAATCTAGAACTTGATATGGGCTAACACAATATCATAACATATTGCACTACATGGTCAGTAGTAACAATAGCAGTGAGCAGCTTATTCTAAAAACTTTAAGGGGGATAGTCTTAACCTGCCCTAACTTACCAGATCTTACCACTTCTTACCAGAGTTAACCGCAACTTGCCCCAACTACCTCTAACTAGCCGTAACTAGCCACTTAAGTAATAACACAGTCCCTCACGGGAGTTGCACCAGTGCATATAAATATGCGTGCTGCTTTTAGCAACTTAGAGGTTTACAAGAGGTTTAGCTGTGACTGGGAGCTCTCGTATCAACCTACTGCGTGACCGACAGACCGGTTTTGTGTCCTTGAACCAGCTCCCTTCTCTAGCGCTGAATTCATGTTTAAGACGCTTATTGAGGAATTCTTGATGTATTCATAACACTAACCTTTAATAATTGTTTATAAAAGAGTATTTATTAAGTGACAAGTGTTTCAACAAACTACATAAGGTTATAGAACATACTCTCAAACTAACTAATTAAGTCTGACAACGCAGACTTAACAACAGTACTATATCACAGGACTGGTGAGAGTCGTGTGATCTCTACAACAACTGCTGCACAATGTGTGTCTACGACAGTAGCTTCCTCTGTCCTGTCGGAGATTTCAGGAGGAGACTGGACGTGTTCCAGCCCAACACCAGGAACCATTATACACCAACAGGGTATTTTGTGTCAAGAACGAGGTTAACCTTCCACCTAACCAGATAAACAACAAATTCATAGGTTTGTTTCTATTTTGTTTATCTACTATTGATGGTATTTGTTACAGCAGTTCATGTGTAAAAATATGTGGGTTAAATTCTATTTAAATTCTGTAATAACAAGTAGTAATAACAATGTAGTAAACGGTAAAGACAGTCAATTATCCTAGGAGTGCATGTGTTCGCACCCGAAGATGCCCTGAACCGAGTGTATATTTTCAGAATTTAAATTTTTGGCATATTATTCACCACCCTTTTTCACCGGGTCAAAACACTTTCCTGTCATATTAGAACTGATCACTTACATGATAGATCATGTAGGCTGTTTTTGGCGAAATCTGAAATTGAGAAAATGCCTAGAGGAATCATTATATTGTGAAACATCGTAGTATTGGCTATATTTCAGTGCTGGGAAGCCTCAATTCGGTTTTCTAAGATGGATATAGTAAAAAAATAGGCGTAGGAGCCATCAAAATTCGCATAACATTACCCAGGTTCATGGAATGAACGAAAATGAACAATAATGAATATTCTTTTAGAAGTGCTCAGAATTGGTCGGTAAGAGTTTATATTGGCCCTAGGACCACTCAAACCAAGTTTGGGAATCACTGCATGTCCAGAACGGACGTTAAAATGTTCCAAATTGTTCCAAACTTATGGATCATTGACGGCTGACGCCAAGTTTTTTTTCCGTATAAACGACATCGTATTGGCAATTTGAGACAGTTTTAGCGCGCGCCGTCGCGCGCGCACCGTGAATCAAATTGTCTAAAATGTGATTTCGTAACATGTGTACGACCCCTAACTCAACCTTTTTCAGATTTCATGTTGAGTTACGTGCCAAAGAATACAGAAACGACGTTTGCATCATTAATGTGAAAAAGACCTGGGAGAAACTCCTTCAAGCCGCACGTCACGCCTTAAGAGTGATAGCTAATATCGTTAACCCCGCTGAAGTGGTTTCATCTCATCGAGAGACTACAGATATGGTGTGTAATTTATACTTTTGGAGATTACATATTTCATCACTGGAAGATATACAGGTTATAATTGTGGGAAGTCAATCTATGTTTAATAATATTTGGTTGACTATCCATTATTTACCTCAGGAAACGTGCGAAGTACGAAGTCAGCGAAGTACGAAGTCAGCTAGAATTGTGTACTGTCGGTACACAATTCTAGCTGAGAAAGCAGAGTTCAGAGCAGAATTAAAGCAGAAAGCTGCCAACCATCACCTCTCAGCAACACAAAACCTCTTCACCGAAGCCCTATCTACATACCCACCCGAAATCAACGTGGAACTACCAAGAGTCCCTCACGAGAATTGTCCAAAGATCACGAGCAGATAAGTCCGGATCTGCAAACCACTCTGAAGCACCTACCTCACAGACTTCGTCCTACCAGCTACTTGCCTGACTTCACTGAGAGAGGAAGCGCTAGCAGACAAGGGAAGGTGATCAGGCTGCAGGACCAGCTGCTGGTGCAGAAGGACGAACAACTACAGTTGAATAGACAGTACAAACAGCGGTGGAGTCAGGGATTAAGAGCTACAGTGCAGCTGTTCAACAGAACAGTGCAAGTGGTACGGTCTGCTACAGTAAAATCCTGAAGAAGATGATGAAGAGTGTGGCTGCAGAGGAGGACAGGAGCAAGAATCTGATAGTGTTTGGACTGAAAGAAGAGGATGAAGAACAGCTACCAGCTCTTGTAAACGCAGTATTGGACGAGATCGGGGAGAAACCTCATTTTGAAGCGACAAGAGTCGGCTGGAAGAGGCCAGGTACGGCCATCCTACCAGCCAAGATCACTGTCCCAAGCTAGGCTCAACAGCAGTTCATCAGATTCTGATGAAAACAGGGAGACTGAGGCTGGCTGAGGCACACAAAGATGTATGGATTTGTATATCCAGTGAAGAGCGTGCAGCAAGGAAGAACCTGGTAACTGACCTGAAGAAGAAGAGAGCTGAACAAACTCATCTCGACCACTACATCTGGTACGGGAAGGTCTGTAGCCGGGTAAAGAAGCCACCATGACGTAATTCATGTCTATCGGACACCGATCAGTATATTATGTAGGAGTATCTTAAGAGTTTACGGACGTTATCTGTATTTGAGAGACAATTATATTATATGCATACATTATTATTTGATTGTTTCACACTTTTCACATTTCATCAATTTATTACTATGTGGTAGTGATGTTATTGAGACTTTGGGCGGCCAAAAACTCCTGTTCTGCAAGTTGTCCTCTGTACTTGTTTCGCTGACCCACGCTTTTTAGCATTTATACATTTCGGCCTAGTTAATGAGACAGTGTGGACAACTTTTGGGGACCATTGTCGGTTTGAACTTAGGGGTCGTTAACATATTACGTAATCAATATTTTAGCAATTTTTACCCCCTTCCGTAATCAACCGTAATCAAGACCCAACCTCCCCCCCCCCCCCCCTTCTGACAGCAATATTACGTAATCATGGCCCGGCCCCCCCCCCCCCCCCCCCCCCCCCCCCCCCTTGAGATTTTTCCTAGAGAACACTTTTCTCTACGTTTCATGCTATCATGATGAGCTGAAATCATTGTTATGGTATCCTGCCAAGCACCTTCTAAACTACTCACTATTATAGCCGGATATTCGATCAATTTCTAAATTTTATCACTATCAGAGTGAAATTGAGTGGAATTTAAAATATCAAATTGTTATTATTCTAGAGGGTAAAAACAAAAACTTTGATTACGTAATCAACGACCGAACCCCCCCGCCCCCCCCCCCACCCCACCCCGTAATCAACCATAAGCATTTGGAAACCCCCCTCGGCCGATTACGGTAGTTCTGTTTACAATGTCCAGTAAGGAAGAATTATGCTGCTGTTCTTGTGCTCATTTTTCCAAGTTTTGGGATTAATCTGGCGAACTTATGTCTCTACTCGTTCGAAGTGAGTGCTATTAATTACGTAATTATCAGCTAACTCCCCCCCCCCCCCCCCCCCCCCCCCGTAATCATTTGGGAACCCTCTGCCGATTACGTAATATGTGAACGACCCCGAAGTATAATCTGAGATACTTTATTTTATGACATGCTATATTGTAATTTGTTTACATGTTTCAGTGTACATTTCTACTGTACTATTACGAAATTATTATTACTGTACTATTACGAAATTTAACGAACTTGCTGCTTGTCCATCAGAATTGTGACTTTTATTTTGTTGAAAATTTAGGTGGGCACGAAAACTGTTAGTTAGAATGTAAGTTCAGAGGAATTTTTCCCTTACAATCAAGCTACATGAATTGTTGTGAATACTAAGATCAAACTATCATTTTACAGGCTGGCGTCATCTTCATTGACACACGCCCTATAAATTGTATAGTAAAAAGTTAATACAACCCAAAATTCCCTTAAAAATCTGAACACTCTTAAAACGTTCATTAAAAGTTAAAATGAGATGTTAGAGTATAACATATATAAGTAAGGGAAGGCCGAAAGGATTTATAATGTTAATTCCCAAAGGTTTTAAAATTAAAGTCTAGAGAAGTTAAATATATTCATGTTCACGGACTTCCAAAGTTTTGGGACTAGAATTATCAATGATCGACACAGAAATGTTCCCTTTGTCTATAAGTATAACCACGATCCAATAAATGTAAGCAAAAACTATATTCATCACTTATTTATCGCCATTTAAAAGTTTATAATATTTGACCCTATGTTCTCCAGTCCTAATATATAATATAACCGGCCCGTATAATATAACCCGTAAAGAGCGAGTAAGTAGTGCGACCGACGTAAGCCTTTCCACAGACACTACATTGGGAAATATAAACAAATAAATGATGTTGTAACTCTATAAGCAGTGGAAGTTTCCACTTTCCAAGGGAAGCTTTAAGTTCACAACATTTGCATCGTGGCACATTGCATTCGCTGGTTCATGGTTGGGCTATGTTTAGCTCCTAAAGCAAGTAAAGTTCTTTCAATTTGACGAGGCGAGATTTTAACAACATAACTCGCAGGACTGCTGTATTTAGCACACGCGCGACTGTAATGATATGAAAAATGAGCCGTCCGCTCATGCCTATATATAGTCATCGTGTCCATAGATACGTGAAGCGACGCGTATCCATAGATACGTGTAGTGACGCGCAAGTTATTCTATTATGAATTCATTTTGTTCGGCGCGCGGCGTAAGAATTTATTTTGACCATATAAATGTTCATAACTTTTTGTGAGAACCTGCGCTGAGTTTTTTGAGAAGGGCGACATTCGATTGAGCATTTTTGCTATCCAATGGTATAAAATGTAGCACCAGCGCAATTATCGCTCAAAAATCTTATTTCTACGCGCAGCTCTCAGCGGGATGGAGCAATTCCGCTGCACTGAATCTTTATTCGGAGTTTATGTTTATAAACAAATTATAGCCTGGGTTCCCAGGTAACTTTATTTTCAAAATATTATGTATTAGCCCGAGGCAAGCTCGAGGCAAGTGCGTGCAAAGCGCTGCGGTAAATATTGTATAACGTTGTGACCCCACGGTCGTTTCACTACCCCTGTAGAGTTTCTACGATACAGGGGAGCCGCGCACTTCTGCGCGGCGGGTCATACAACGTATGACAACGTAAATAGGGGTTTGCAGTATAATAAATATTTCAATTCAGATCGTTCACATATTATTATGTTACGGTAACCAATTGTCGGCCAATTTAAAGTTAAACAGCTTTTTTAAAAATTGTAGTTGACGAAATGAGAGTCTCCACTCAGTGTGTTAAAACATAATTCTTTGTCGACGTTTCGGCTACATGCCTTTGTCATAAACAGGACGTACTGAAAACTTACATAGCTGCAAAGATACAATGTTAAAATAATCTATTAATACTATTAATACTACGAAATATAACAACAACAAAAAATAACATCTTGAAACACAACAACAATCACAAATTTATCCAAAAGAAACATAAAATATAATGGCTAAAAGAATCCACACCGCAACAAACCGTGAACAATTCCTCATAGTACTACAAACATTTTACCAAGATAGCTCCTTCATAAAACTGATTAATCAAAAATTATCTAGGTTTATAAGTTCAATATTACATTAATTTCCAAGTATATTTTATCCAATCACCTTCATTTACGGACTCAGACAATTGAGTATTTATTTCTGGGTTTTCACGTTTTATTAGAACCGACTGCCACAATTGACGGTCCACATAGTCTTTACATCTTTTTCGAACTATAAACCGAAACGGTATGTTTGGCATTGAAATGTCTGCATGCTCCTCTAGGTAGTGCTTCCCCATGGCCGTAGATTTGTTGCCATCCCTTACTGATTTATAGTGTTCCCAGGCTCTACTTCTTTTAAACCTACCAGTTTCCCCAATGTAGGACTTATTACATATTTGGCATATTAATTGGTAGCAAATGTTTTTGATCATGCAGGATTTATCGCACTGGTAGCATTTGCTGTCACTTTGTTTATTGCATTTTGTTTGCTGTAGGCTAGATCTTGTTAAAGCTTCCATGAGACGTTTTCCTGATGTGAATGTTACCCTGGTGGAATCCAAGAGGTTTTGATTTCTTAGGGTATAGTAGACTTTTCGACACGTCTGTTCATTTATATAAGGTAATGATAAGTAAGCTATTTTTGAGTTCTTTTTAGGCGCATTTTGTTTATCCAGTGTATTCTGTGTTTCTCGAATAAGTTTCTTGACAATATTAGGAGGGAAACTATTCTTCTTTAGCATATCAGCTATTCTGTTGATACTGAGATCTTGTAGTTCAGGTGTGGAGCTGTTATTGATAGCCCTTCTGATCCCATTTTTGGCTGAGTTCAGAATCGTTCTACGAGGGTGAGCAGAGGCATAATTTAGGAATATGTCCTGGCTGGTTGGTTTTACAAATAAGGAAAAATCCAACCTCTTGTCCACTGTATTCATATAGATGTTCAGGTCCAAAAATGCAACACAATCTTTGGAGCACTCATATGTGAACTGTATATCCCTGTTCAACGAGTTAATGTAGTTAAACAGCAATAGTACTGTGTCTTCATCTCCCTCGATTATGCTGAAGCAGTCATCTACATATCTATCCCACATATCTATGATTGGGAGTCCTATTGGTTTGGGGGGAGCTTTTGTGTAGAAATTACACTAACAGAAGAAGCTTTTACAAACCCCATCCCTCTGTTCACTGTTTGACTTACGTAATATGTGAAAGATCCCAATACTGAATACGATTCAAACTTGTAATTTTATAACATTAATATTATCTCCCCAAAATGTATTTAATTTGTGTCACGAACAAAACATAATTATAATAATATGTCTGCATGATTAATGATTAGTTGTTGCTTGATTCCCCAGAAAGTGCTCAACTGCAGACAAGATTTTGATAAAGGAGCAACACATCATTTTAACAACATTCATTATTTTAATTTGGCACCCAGGATTGGTATTTTTCTTTCTTTAACAATTTCGTAATTTATACTTACAACCTGGATCATTTGATTAAATACATTTGGTCGTGTTTACAAATAAAGCTGGTATGTAGAAAAGATAATATTATTAATAATAATAATAACAAACACAAATACTAGACACTTAACTTTTTGATGTGTATTATATTATATATTACTAGAAAGCCCGTTACGTGGTCACAGGGAGGGAATTTGCAGTTTTATTGCATCAAAAATATCCATCACAACCGAAGACACAGCCGATTAAAACACATGAGTGAATACAACGTAATTACCACAAAATGACGTTAAAACAATCATTGCACGTGCATGTGCGCGTTTCAACACCATTACCATTCTTACTATGTAACTACCTTTTTCTCATCTGATTTGAACGTGGGCGGTGGGCGGTCGTACAAAAAGAATCTTTGGAATTATAATATAGATGTATTAAAAAAGAAAGCTGATTTATTGTGAAAATCCTTAAATAATTTATACGTTTGTAATTGTGCTCCAGTTGATATCAGGCTTGGGGTGGTGCTTTAGAAGCGGTATTTCGGGAGTCTAGTAAAGCTCTTATAGGCAACTGGTTCCTTTTGCCAGCCGTTTTTAGTCCAGTACTGTCTCATTCCTGATCTCAGAACATGCGCAACAAAAATTTTGTTATGCCATGCCAACATGAAATTATTTGGATCTCGTCGTAACCCCCGTCATTGCACGAAGTGGTTTGTGGCAAAAGCCACGAATGACAAAGCCGCGCACTCGTGTGCGGCAGGGCTACACCATGAAACAAGGCATTATGGACTATCGATTTATGAAATTTAAACATTTAGAATACAAGTCATTATTATTATTAAATCTAAAATAGCTAATAATTTAATAAATTATTAACAGGCCCCTTAACGTGGGCAATAATATACGCTTTATAAATTATATAAACAAATTGCAGTCTATTTTTCCAATGTTGTTAAGTGTCTCTTTAGATCTGTTTTGGTGTTTTGTGGGAGTTCCCACATTTGTTGGTTGAGAATGCTCAACATAACATACATGATGCTTGACTGCTTTATTGACCCGGACAGGCACCGGGGGCAGACATCCCAACACCAGTGCGTTGGGACATAGTGTTGGTCTGCTTCAGGACGTGTTAGATCCTAGAGAAGCCGCCATCCCCTTTACTGCTTTAGCTCAGCGGCAGCATGAGCCCTGGTTTCCTGCCACATTGGTACCTCTGAAAGTACAGAAAAGTGGTGGATTTCGGGGTCCAGGATCCTCCCTCTTTAATCTTTACGGTGGTGTTATTTCTCTGAGATGTTTGCAGAGTCTTTATTTTATGATCTTTCTAGTTTAGTTGGATAAATCCTGGAGAGCATCATTTTGACCCCAAAGAAATTCGACTCTTCTAATGAATGCTTTTTGTGTGCTGCTTTTTGTTAACACTTCATCTAGATAGGAATGTGAGTCAGCCCCACCCAGCTCTTCTTTTAGCTGCAGGTAACTGGTGTCTTGCACCTCCAGACACAATAGGAGCTGGTGTACAGGAGAATCATCGAAGCTGTTGCAGAAACGACAGGCCTCACCACTGTCACCACCCATGATCTTTTGGATATTCGCAAAGAGTGGTGAGCTGCCGTGAATGTAGTCCATTATTCGGCTGTCCAGATTTTTACTCGTGTTGTGCCTGAATAAGAAGTTGTTTTTGTCTAGGAGCAGCCCACTGTTTTTGATCTTTGTGATCACACCAAGTATCTTGGTCTCCTTGTTGTTACTGACAGTTCTGCATTGCAGAATACAAGTCAGTTAATGAAATATTTTTAGAATAAATTTCACTTCGGCTTTAGAATTTTTATTTAATTTTGAATTCTTTAGTTTAGGCTCGGTGCCGTCATTATAATGAGTGACTAGCACCGTGCTGATAGAAATTTATGATTGAGATGAATTTTCGAGTAGTATATAGTAAAAAGCGTATTTTACATATGCATAGCATAATCTAATTTTCATGAGCATATCTAATTTTCATGAGTTTATTATCGGATGTTCAAGTTTAACTGTGTTTATTATGATATTATAATTCATTGTAATATGGCAATAAAATTTAAATTTTGTTCTACTTAAAAAATTTTGTTTTACTTATTATTTTAGTGTTATCGTCACTACTTTAACGAGATTTCTTTGCGTTATCAATTTACAGTAATGGGACACAGCAGTTTTAAGACGGATAAGTGCATTTTTGATTGATAAGTAGTTCTAGTCACTGCTTATCAGCTTTACTATATTTAAGTGTTTAGTTTGTTTCATACTATACTATAATTTTCCGTGCGGAGTTAAATGAAACAAAATTAACTATGATGATTATACATGAATTAAGAATTTTACTAGATAGAGTGCTTATCTTAAAGTTAAATGTTTTTACAGGCTCTAGTGATGTAGTTTTATGACATTTCAAGCCTTACGTTGTGTGTTTCCTTTTGTGTCTAAAAGCATTATGTTCTTTCTATAACTATGTCAGCAGTCAATGAAACAAGTTCGTACTTGATTGTACGTACTAGAATATTATACATTATATAAGTATTATATTAAACAATGATCAATCAAGAATGCTTTAATATAATATGACAACTATACCATGATGAAATTGTAAATATTTTCCTGTATCATATTATTATCTTGATAATCCCATTATATATCCATATATAAGCCATAATCAATTCTGTCATTCTTAGATAGTAATATATACATACTAACACTAGATGGCGTGCTGTAGAATAAGTGGTCAGATAGTGACCTTATTGGTTAGCTTCAGTATACTTGTGTTCTACATGATGCTGGGGGCGTTCATGTTCACTGCAATAGAGCTACCACATGAGAGTAAAGGACATAATCTCTCTTTAGCTCGGGTTAGTTGTTATGAGTTCTATTACAATAATTACTGATCTTTATAAGTAAACAAGGTCTTCTGCTTTTATATTGAGTTATTTACAAATATATTCATTGTGTAATTATATCCCCTCTCTTCAGCTGCAGAAAATGACTTCAAGTTCGAGCAAAGCTATCCAGAAACTAACTGCTCGTTTCAACTCAAGTGCTTGTGAGAGTTTGGAGGCAATAGAGTTCTTTAAGAACCGTGACAATGCAACCCCTCATGAGGAGGATGAAGGTACGAGGAGAAGTGTGGGGCTAGATGAGGGGGAGGGAGGGGGGAGGGGATACTTTCGTTGTAAGAACTAACCCCGTTGTAAGAACTAACCCCTTTTAACCGTAAAATTATTATCTTTTCAGTGTTTTCCTGGACTTACACAAAATCTATGATGTTCGCCTTTGCTACCATCACTACTATAGGTAACACCTAAATTTAATAACGTATTGATCTGAAACAAATGTTTGGATACTGACTTGGGCCCTTTTTAACATCACCATGAATGATTCATTGAATTATCAGCATGCTATGATCTTCTGTATGGCCTAGGCTTACTATAACCAACCTGCTTAATCTTTATATTTTATGTCGTAATATATCAGGGTATGGCGACTCAATACCAACCACACATGTTGGCAAGGGAATGGCAATACTGTTCGCTCTGACTTGCATCCCTCTCTACTACATGATGGTCAGTGTTCCTGAGAATTTTCAACTTTTGATAAATTGTGTCCAATCTTGAGCAAGAAATTAAATTCAGATTAGGTAAAAGATAAATCTATGGGGAAACCCCACGTAATGAGTTACTTTAAAGCTGAGATCTCATTGTTTTTGAAGCAGTATTTGTTCGCTGTATCCACTATATATATATTACAGCCATCCACAGCCCCCATTTACTATATTATCACTACAGGTGATGCTTTACGCAAGACACGGGCTAACTATCACTAAAAGTCTGATTGAAACTTGCACCAGTGACATTAGAAAAGCTTTCCTGGTAAGATAATGGAAAGCGTTAAGAACTTTTAAATCAATCAACTTTTACAATGTTTCAAAATATAAAAGATTAATTGAAAAACTTTACATATTTAGGCCGGCCAAGATACCCCGGATCTTAGCGACACTTACAATGTTTTCTTAGAGTAGATCTATCTATGAAATATCGAAGATTCTACTATGAAATATGTTTCAGATTCTCAATGCAGTGTTATTTGGACTCCTATTTATTGCGATTATGTTCTTTACCGCTGTGTACTGCTTCACTGATAAAACTGACTTTGGGAATTCTTTGTGGTACACATTTGCCACTTTCACTACCATTGGATTTGGAGGTACGATCAGTGTTATGTAAAACATATTCAGGTTACATCTTATCACTCTGTAGAAATGTAGGAGGACATTTTCAAGGACCTCAATTCTCAACCTGAAACTAATATCAAAAAACACTCTGCAAAGCTAAGTGTATGCTGGGATTAATCCATGGCCAGGATGGGATGATGGGAATGATTATCAATGAATCTACTTAGAATTATTAATGAATCTAGTTAAAATGATTATTTATTTCTTGAGTAATATTTATAAATTCAGATCACGTCCCCGACAACGCACACTCTGGACACGCATTCTACTTTATTGTCTTTGTTACACTTGTTCACATATTGATTGGAATGATCGTGCTCTCTTGGAAGAGCTCCTTCTTGAAGGTAAATTAGCTGAGCCAGTGAGGCTTTCTCTGTTTAAAGGCCTTAAACTCTATACTCTATTTCTAAATGTTCCAATGAAATCTCTAGGAGGATTAGGCGATTGAATTTTGAAAATATAAATTTACATACGTTGACCATGATTACTAATTATAAGGATTTGGTTTATATATTATAAATATATTGGTGACCCCCGGCCCCCTTCCAGGTAAGTTTTAAGTATTAAAACTTTCAACACTACTATATAACAAATAATTTGTTGATGGCGTTGTAATAATAATAAGATGGCGTTGACGCCGAAAATTTGCCTACATTCCTAACTTCCTGTTTCATTTGTCCTTGTCTCTTCTAACCGGATATTATCCAACTATCAGTATTTCAATCATTATACTAATAAACAGCGAACTACTTCATCATTTGATGTTAAGTTTAATAAATCTATCATCAACTGATGAACTACTAAAGTTAATATCTAACCTTGTTTAATAACTACAAGATGTGTCTCCCTCCAGTTACACCGCACAGTGGAGAGGTACAGCTCTACTGTATTTGGACTCTGCTGCCATGTCTCTCTTAATGTAAGTAGAGAGTTGTTAATGTGAACCTTTTTTGAACTGACAGTATCCAGTTACTATACCCTTTACACCCCCTGTTCTATTCAGTGCCCCCCCCCCCCCCCCCCCTAGTGTCGACCGCGCCCCCCAGTTAAACATTGTATTCTACAGAGTTCACTGCGTGTGGAGGTTGGAATGACTCGTTTACCAGAGGAGCCAGTAGACGCAGAGATGGAGGCTGTCCAGTTCGACCCTAATGATAACGAGGACGAGGACGTCTTTAATGAGGGTCAGAGAGTTGCCACGTGATAGTCACGTGGGCACGTGATAGTTTACACTTCAGACTGTATTATATTAATTAATGTTAATCTCTAGTTGATTCTGTTATTTTGGCTCACCCTGTGTCAATGATGTTTTGACCAATCTCATCTTAACATAATAATTTATTTTACTGTAAGTTATAATTTTATTTTATGCGAATTTACATACGTTACAAAAGTTTATGCTACAGTTTTATCTTTAAATTTCACAAAGTATTTTAGTTTTTGATTAACAAATAATTTTATGATATATAGTATGTTATACATTATACAATAGTACAATGTAACCTAATGTAATATGACAGAAAATATATAATTTCAAAATTGTGATTAATTTCAATTACGTATTAATCATGATCAATTATTAATTTATGTACCTGATATGAATACGAATAAATCGTGTGCGCGATCTATAATAATCAATATGTTCAGTGTACATTTTTTGTTTGTTGGGTTTTATAGGCAGAGCATGGTTTTGACGTTTGTTAATTATATACTTCAATTATTTTTCAACCAAAGCCGATATTTTTAAATTTCATTCGTAGAAACATGTAAGTGTAAGCTTTTTTATTAAGTTTAAACAGGCTTGAGAAGGAAACAAGGTTTAATAGAAGAAGAGAAAAGGAAACAATAATGATCAATTTATTACATAGATATAATACCATTATCTATTTTATTATTATCATCAACGTAGATCGTGAATTTAAAAATAATATTTATATGTGTTATGTTATTGTGATTGATTTTTAGTATTTATGATTTATTGCTGCTATCACACCATAGTTTCATTAACTACAAACTCATGAGCAAAGCTCGACTGGGACTGGAAAAAGTGCAGGGACCGGGATTAAGACCAGGAGGCGGGACCGGCTAACAAAAGTTTTACTTGCAATAATAATTGGATAGAAGAACCAATAAAATATCAATCTTAGTATATTGATCTTAAATGACGTTTATAATCTAGCAGCTGGTAAGAATTCCGTGGGAACAAACCTTGCGGCGCAAGTTGTTCCCACGGAATTCTTACCAGCTGCTAGATCAATAATGGTGTTGAGTGTATTTAAACAGTATGCTATGTCAGCAACTTGGTTGATTAGTGTATCAAATTTGCAGAATATTCGTCATTTTGATTTTAGCGTAAAACATCATGGTATTTTGTTGTCTGTATCTAAGTAGCCATTGTGGTTTATCAGTGCGAATACTTTGCCTATTACGCTTATATTACTTATTAATAAGACAAATAAGACAAAAAATTTTTTAAATTACTGCTCCAGTAAAATACTTCTTTCCATAGTACTTACTTTACTTTATCAGCAATCATAATTGATAACAGCATCTAAAAAGCTTTATATTGCATTCCAAAAATTCAAGTATTGAAATTGATAAATTTGAAAATAGATAGCTTCTTGGAGTATATATTGGTGAACTATGAAGAACTGTATAGTGTATTTAAAAGCGTTCTATCTTATAATTAAATGTCCCTTCATTCAGGAGATGTGTTTGACTGATTGTAGTCATGGCAACCACTGAAGTGTTCCCTGTCAAAAAGCGGGAGGAGTATCAGCAGTGGAGAAATTTAAAGGGATTCTCAGTGGAGGAAGTTGGGAGGCATAATTACGAATATCCTGTAGAGATAGAGACATGGTCATCAGCATCTGGTCATCCCATGCCTAAATCGTGTCAGATTCCTTTTGTATATCCTCGTATATCACTTCCATTAAGCTTGAAATTAGAGAGATGGGTAGATAATCACAAAAAGTATATCCTTGATGTAACCAATGATCATTTGTTTGACTTTGAAGTTGAACTTCCTCCAAAAGAAATGCCAGAATTTATTCCTGAAATTTTCTCCATTGGAAAGGTTCTCACGTGGGCAATGAGAGAACAGTTCGACTTGAAACAAGTCGACATTTTCATGGTAAGTTGTGCTTTACGAGATATTGCTTCTACTGCAACTTTAGGCCGTACTGGTGAGTGGGAGTATGCAGTTTTTTGCTACAAAGGAAAAATGTTTATCGAGAAGACTGTTGATGACAGTCAAAGATACTGGAAGTATGGTTTAGATGCACCGCCAAATTATGACTACTGGAGATTTCTGGATAATCCGAAAATTCTTCCAGTACAAGGAGAAAAGAATTCAGAAGAAATTAGTTATATTATACCTGACTTTGATTACTCTGATGATACAAAGATGCATTGGGAGTTATCAAAGTATGGTAAAAAGTTCGAGGATGTGTTAAGAAGTGAGGGGGGTGGGAACCCTCAATACAACGGAGAGGATAAGAATCTTAAATGGGCAAAAAGTAACAAGCTATTAACCCTTGGGGACCACAAAATTATAACTGCTACGAGATTAAGTTGCCAAGAACCAGATGGGCCAATAGATAGTCAGGAAAACATGGTAGAGACAAAAACAATGTTTCCCCAGTCGAAAGAAAACTTTTCTAGATCTAAGGCGTTAAGTTTATGGATACATTGTGCATTAGTTGGCATTGAAGCTGTCTATTGTGGATTTCGTTGTGAAGATGGACAATTGATTGGGATTAGGAAATTCACAATGAACGAATTGGCAGAACTAGGCAAAGATTACTGGTCTGCTCCTGAGGTACTTGTATTTTTGGATACATTCCTTTCGTGGTTAAAAGAAAAGGTAAACAAAGATTCAGTGCGAAATAAAGAAGAAGTGTGGCTAAAAGAGGAGATGAGTGGAGATGAAGGAGCAATGTACACCTTGATTTACTCAGGAGATGGAAATATCCGACTGGAAAAAGATGAGCACCCAGAGTTAAAGAAAATAGTTACCGAGAGATACTGTCTATAGTCACATATTTAGCATATATTATGTCTATAATCACATATTTAGCATATATTATGTCTATAATCACATATTTATCTTATTATACTACATGTCTATAATAGCATATTATGCAGTATTTTTTATGATTCCCGGTGTAGTTGAAATTAGTTATTATTTTGTGGTTTGGTTATGGAATATGAATTTTTGAATTTGAAATTAGGTTACAGAATTGTTTTTTAGTAATTTTTTGAACATTGACTAATTGATAATGATATGGGTTTGTTAGTTTGTTACATTATGTTAAAGAAATGTTTTTTTAGTGAGTGTTGACCATTGTGCATTATAATATTATCTTAAACTGTTTTTTTGATTATTTGATTGCTTCAGATTTTCGTTTATTTTTAAGACTAAATATGTGTTTACTAATTTGTTGTTATATTATTTTAAAAAAATTGTTTTTTAGTGATTGTTTGAACATTTTGTCTTCCATCGCAACTTTTGAATTGAGAGGAACTAGATATCATCCCATTAGCACCTAAGTAATAATCTTCCACCCATAGGGTATAGTATGTGCAGGCTGCAGCGGGGGGGGGGGGGGGGGGGGGGGGGGGGGTGCAGGTACTTTTTTGATGGAACATAACCCTAAAAGTACCCGAGGGGTGGGTGGGTGTTTTATGAAATTTTCGAAAAGTATCATGGTACTTTTTTGTCCCAAAAAAAAGAAGGGGTACCCCAAAACATGATTATAAAAGTACATGGTACTTTTTCATTACCAAAATGTTAGAATTGGGGTTTTCTGAAATTATACCTAGCTTGTTGTAGAATGTAGATCTAATTGGGGTTTTCTGAAATTATACCTAGGTAGCTTGTTGTAGAATGTAGATCTAATTGGGTTTTTCTGAAATTATACCTAGCTCGGTGTAGATCTAATTGGGTTTTTCTGAAATTATACCTAGCCTGTTGTAGATCTAATCGGGTTTTTCTGAAATTATACCTATACTCTAGTAGCAGGGAGGGATTGAGTGTGCACTTCGATGTACAGAGTTTTTTGATACTGAATCGGGTTAATTAGGTCATTGGTAACTCAAATTACCGAGGGGCACATTTTGTGTCGCTAGTCCCAACCCTGTGGGGGCCACGCCCATATTTCACATTAGGCGCATATATGGGAAATATGTATCTCAGCTTCTGAAGGTCTTAGAGACTCAAACTTTGGCTTAAAATGACCGCAATGCACATATTTATATTGACACTATGAAGGGTATAAAGGCCCAAAATGCTTACTTTTGGAAAAAAATCCAGAAAAACCGATTTTCACTGGGGCGAGAGTGAAAAAATCTACTCTAGAAGCTTATTGACATCGAGTATGCAGTTTGGTGTCTACAACTTTTCTAGAAACCAGGTCTTTTGTAAGGTCATTCTGGATCAGAATTGATAAGGTGCGCAATTTCTATCAGTAATCCCAACCCTAGGGGGAAATTTCTAAATTACCCTCAGGCGCAAATATATGACTTTTGTATCTCGGCTTCTGAACGTTGTAGGGGCCTCTCTTTTACCTCAAACTAACTGCAAAGGCCACATTTATTTACAAGCTATAAAGCAACATAGGGTTTATAGTGCTTAGTTTTGGAGATATTCATTAAAAACTGTTTTAACTTTCGTGCATCCTAAATTAGTAACACATGTACTTAATTTTGGTATCCCGGGCTAAAAAAGTCTTACAGACACTTCACTTGCAGCACAGCAAAATGTTCAGCATGAACACATTCAGATAATATTTATGGAGCAACACAATTCAGTTTCAGAAGCTCCTTCCAGCTATCTTATCTTATCCACAAATGTACACATCTAACCATCTCTCTGGTTACTTCAAACCACTAACCACTTCAATCCCCAAATTTATACATCTAACCATCTCTCTGGTTACTTCAAACCACTTCAATCCCCAAATTTATACATCCAACCATCCCTCTGGTTGCTTCCATCTCGTTAAAGCCAAGGATCGACCGAGACTGCTTTTTTGACCGGGAATGGGAAAAAGTGCTGGGACCGGGATTAAGACCGGGACCGGGATTAGGGATCGGGATTAAGCCGGGATCCCGGTCTTACCACAAGTTGGGCTCTCTTCAGTACTGTTTGGCTATTATGGCTAATTACCTCCAATCCAACCTCATGTAGTAGAATCTACTTCTAGTTTCCTTCAATTCTGCTACCTCCATTCTAGCTCTTTCTAGCAATCTCTGAATGCTACTTCCTGCTCTATCTAGCTTCCACAAACACCCAATAATTGTTGTTATGCTACAACTAGCACTGCAAATTCTAGCCATATCCAGCAACCTCAGACTTACTCCTACTCTGTTCAGCTGCAGCTCATTGGCCGTTGTACCAAAAACCGGTCCCCAAACAAACAAACAAACAGCTATCACCAGCACCTGCAAATTCTAGCACTATCCAGCAACCTCAGACTACTTTCTGCTCTATCCAGCTAACACTAGCAAACGGTACCCACAAATTTTAGCTTCTTCTAGTTACTTCGGGCTACATCCATCCTTATTCTGCAGTTAAATGAGCACTCTCAAATTCTATCTGTTTTACCTAATTCCGGCTACCTCCAGGCTCCAGCTAGAACTTTAGGGTGCTTGTGCTATCTGGATATAGCATAATGTAGTCTGAGTTTGCTGGATAGGGCTATAATTTGCAGGTGCTAGTGGTAGCATAACAAGTAACAACAATTAGTGGGTGTTGGTGGAAGCTAGATAGAGCAGGAAGTAGCATTCAGAGGTTGCTAGAAATAGCAGGTTTCCCCTTCCTCAATGAGCTGGAAATTGTTGAATGCAGCTGATGCAGCCTGAAAGAGCCAGAATAAATTGTTGCTGGTGGTGTTATAAAAGGCAAGAGGTAGCTTAAGTTAAGTTTGCTAGAAAGAGCAGAGGTTGGAGGGGCCAGGGGGCCTTGCAGTAGCAGCTAAATAGATGTAGCCAAAAAAAGTGAAAAGAGCTGGAGTTGGTGGTTTCTGCCCACTGGTGGTACCTGTATAGAGCAGGAGGTAGCATTCAGAGGTTGCTAGAAAGAGCTAGAATTATAACGTGCTGGTGGTAGCTGTGTAGAATAGGCATGACATGGAAGTAGCAGAATTATAGGTAGCTAGAAGGAGATTCTACAACATGAGGTTGGAGTGGAGGTGATTAGCCATAACAGCCAAACAGTACAGGAGAGAGCCCAACTTGTGGTAGATATAACGAGATAGTTAGATTTTCATGTATAAATTTGGGAATTGAAGTGGTTTGAAGTAACCAGAGAGATGGATAGCTGGAAGGAGCTTCTGAAACTGAATTGTGTTGCTCCATAAATATTATCTGAATGTGTTCATGCTGAACATTTTGCTGTGCTGCAAGTGAAGTGTCTGTAAGACTTTTTTAGCCCGGGATACCAAAATTAAGTACATGTGTTACTAATTTAGGATGCACGAAAGTTAAAACAGTTTTTAATGAATATCTCCAAAACTAAGCACTATAAACCCTATGTTGCTTTATAGCTTGTAAATAAATGTGGCCTTTGCAGTTAGTTTGAGGTAAAAGAGAGGCCCCTACAACGTTCAGAAGCCGAGATACAAAAGTCATATATTTGCGCCTGAGGGTAATTTAGAAATTTCCCCCTAGGGTTGGGATTACTGATAGAAATTGCGCACCTTATCAATTCTGATCCAGAATGACCTTACAAAAGACCTGGTTTCTAGAAAAGTTGTAGACACCAAACTTCATGCTCGATGTCAATAAGCTTCTAGAGTAGATTTTTTGGTCATAGATCAGACAAGGCTGGTCGGTCGGAGGTCGGTCGGAGGTCGGTCAGGCGCCGGTCGGCGGTAGGTGAACGCCGGTCACTCTCGCCCCAGTGAAAATCGGTTTTTCTGGATTTTTTCCAAAAGTAAGCATTTTGGGCCTTTATACCCTTCATAGTGTCAATATAAATATGTGCATTGCGGTCATTTTAAGCCAAAGTTTGAGTCTCTAAGACCTTCAGAAGCTGAGATACATATTTCCCATATATGCGCCTAATGTGAAATATGGGCGTGGCCCCCACAGGGTTGGGACTAGCGACACAAAATGTGCCCCTCGGTGATTTGAGTTACCAATGACCTAATTAACCCGATTCAGTATCAAAAAACTCTGTACATCGAAGTGCACACTCAATCCCTCCCTGCTACTAGAGTACTAGCTCGGTGTAGATCTAATTGGGTTTTTCTGAAATTATACCTAGCTCGTTATAGATCTAATTGGGTTTTTCTGAAATTATACCTAGCTTGTTGTAGATCTAATCGGGTTTTTCTGAAATTATACCTAGCTCGGTGTAGATCTAATTGGGTTTTTCTGAAATTATACCTAGCTTGTTGTAGATCTAATTGGGTTTTTCTGAAATTATACCTAGCTTGTTGTAGATCTAATTGGGTTTTTCTGAAATTATACCTAGCTTGTTGTAGATCTAATTGGGTTTTTCTGAAATTATACCTAGCTTGTTGTAGATCTAATTGGGGTTTTCTGAAATTATACCTAGGTCGGTGTAGATCTAATTGGGTTTTTTCTGAAATTATACCTTCCCCCTTTAGATATAAGGGAAAACCTTAAAAAACCTTAAATTTGCACTTTATTGTATTACTTTTGTCCAAACTTTCGCACTGTGGACCTTAAAAAACCTTGAATTTAACTGTTTTGGACCTTAAAAATGGGTCAAAAGGGGCCTTAAAAGACGTGAAAAAACCTTAAAAATGACTCTCAAAAATGCCGGCAACCCTGTTCACAAGTCACATCGAGGTGTCAGCCCCTATCAAGATTCTAAAAAAAGTGCGATGAGATTGGATTTTGAGACTAAAAGTGCGATCCCCCCCCCCCCCCCCCCCCCCCCCAGCCTGCAAGATTTCTTGCCCCACAAATTACTTTGTATTTAAAAAGATTTCCCTTTGTAAGTGAAATTGTAAGTATGTCGCTTTATGTCGCTCGATGTTTATATCTCAGAATTGTAAGTATGCCGCTGTAATTTGGATCCATGCATAACGAAAAATTTAAGTGTGTATTTTTATGAAGGGTATAATGTTACATATTGTATATCTGACAAGCCCCACGTAGCGCCCCAGTTTAGGGCACGGCCGCTAAGCAGCTGATTCCGGGTTCGAGTCTCGTCGACGGTCATTCTTTTGGCAATTATTAATTATTTTACTAAAATTATCATCAGAGCACCTTGTAATATACTTTATCTGATAAATTATACAGTTCGTACTTCAGCTAGAGAAAACTGGCATTTAAGGATTTGTCCGGGGAAGGCCTCGTTCATACTGAAACATATCAAATTATGGTGAACGGAGTTATCTGGTAATATTTGTTTTGTTTTTGGCTAGAATTTAGAATGGAATCAATGTGATGAGGATCCAGAGTTAATTACCTGCTAGGATTAATAAGTCAGGTCTACAGTTGAAGAGACCCTTTTTCAAACTTTTAATGAAGAAATATCCACTGTGCCTATGGCAGTGTCAAGTATATTCATTATTCTGAGAAAGATGGAGTCGACTGTAGCCAGGAATAGTACCTTGAGATTTCGACCATTACCGGACCTCCTTTAATGGTAACCATGGTAACTATAGTAACCACTGTGAATCTTGATCTTATAAACCGATTAATATCGACAACAACTAGTATCCTTTAAGACTTAGACAGTACAGAAAAGTAAGCCGTCAGAGTAACACAACCAGTAATAATTCAAAACAATCAATACCAAAAGTTCAATGACCATGAAAAGTCGGCTTGGTGATAAAGACGAAAAGGCCAGCAAGTTGAGGAATAGTATTATGGGGCCGTTGCGCGCGACCGAATTTGTTGTGCTGAAAGAGGGTGCCGAAATCTCGCAGTCAGACTCGCGATATTGGGGTGAGATTTATACTAAACTCGTCAAAATCTCGCACTAATTGCGCGCGGCAAAGTTGTTATACTTTAACCACGTGATCTCACACAACACTAAGTTCGGAATTTACAAAGTATAAAGTACATTTTTGTGTCGCTTAAAACTTTTAAATTACATTTTTTCTATTTTCTCACACATTTTTTGTTAGTTTTTTTTTCTGTGTTTATTTTAAGATTTTGTGCGATGAGCCTGTCTCGCCATCTCGCATGAATCTTGACCTGGGGGTGTCAGAACATCTTCAGTTTAGAAAAACTGATGAACAGGAATTTTTTGAAAAAAAAGGAGGGGGTGGGGGGTCATTTGGGACAATTTCGAAAAGTACTGTGGTACTTTTTTGTTATTCTATTCGTGAAGGAGGTGGGTGGGTGGTTATTTTCAGAAATTTCGAAAAGTCAGCATATGTTCCATCAAAAAAGTACCTGCACCCCCCCCCTCCCCCATTCAAAAGCAATCATGTCTCCCCCATGGCCCCATGCATACTTGATATGAGTCTTGTCTAATCACCTTGCAGTTAAACATTTTAGCATCCGTTGCCATGGCTACTTACACCAACGGGACTAAATCCATACATTGAGCATAACTTTAACTACAATGTGACCATATTTATAATAATAATACTGTTGAGCAGTTTCGTTATCTATATTTTATTATCTAAACTCTGTTATCTCCCCAGCTCAGATCAGAATGAATACTTTCTGCACCCGACAACTCATGAGATCAGATTTCAAGAAAACTGGCTGCAGGAACATAATAGGTAATTTCAAACATGATCGTCTTACTTTGATTTTATAGATATTTTCAAGAAAAGGCAGATTCAATTGCTTCTTATTTCAGAAATCACAATGATTATATTGTTATCAGTAATATGTTAGGTTACGCAAGAAGATGGAAAAATAATAGGATAGATGAACAGAGGATGAAATACATGGGAGCTGATAAACCTGCTGCAGAATGGATATTGCTGTATGTTGTACATTAGTTTTACACCTCATTTGATCATTTTCATGACAATATGGTTATACAATATACATGTGTATACATTGTATACATAGTGTACAATGTACACTATGATTAGGAGGGAATCTGCATTCCACAAAAACAAGCTGACTCTGCCAAATATAATGTAAAACATTCTTCAACCACCTCTAACCAGTAACCAAACACATTTACTGAACTTTTGCAGGAACAAGGGAAAAGTGAAGATGTCTGGTAGTAATAAGTGGATATCTTCATTCTGGGACTTTCCTCAAGATAACTTCTCCAGTGACTTCAGACTGACTCACATTCAGGCTGACAACACTGAGGTTTCTTCTACTGGTAATTACTTTAAACACATACTTATCATACCTTAATTACTAGCACCCAGTGTCACCTAGTCTAGGGAGTAGCTTCAAGGATCCATTGAACCTATGCGATCTCCTCGGTCGACTCAGCCGAATGATAGGAAACTTGACTGAGGGTTAAATGAGGAGGGGTACCTGTTAAAAGTTCAAGAAACTTCCTAGGATACCCCTTCAGTGCATACTGCATACTGTAAACATAAATACTATTAACTATTAACTATTAACTACAGTCTACTTAAATACTTGTCACTAATTAAAACCGGTTGTTATGATATCACGTCTTGTTAATATGCCAGTTTCCTAGATACACCTGCACAATTATATTATTACACAGTTGTACAATGTACGTTATACTGTCTCAGTTGTATAAGCTTTCGTACAGTACACACTGCACAGTCACTGCACAGTACTTCTTGAACTTATTATAGATATATGTGTTGAATTAGTCTTCTTGTTTATTAACATTTGATTCTTAGTTAGTATAATGAGATAACAGTCAAGTTTCAGTTAAGTTTGTATGACAGTTAGTTTAAATTGATGTATTATCAGGTTTTAGATACATAAAGAACCTGGCCTATATCCAGACAGCCTCGTTTGCCCAGTGCCGGTATGTTGATGACAGTGCACTGCCTCATTTACATGGTTCAGCAGACAGCGGTTCATTAAAGGTTACTTTTTATTAACTATTAATTATTACTTTAAATAGTAGTCGCACTAGCTCGTATAATCCATTAATTGCTGTACTTTCATCTTTGCTTTAATTTCTACTGACTAGATATTCTCTCCAGGCACTAAACCTATCAAAGACTAGTATCACACAGCACGGTATCCGTCAGCTAGCAGAACTTAAATCACTCAAACATCTCGATATTTCGGATTGTAAAGGAATGTTGGATATACCTTTTGAATCTGAGTTGCCTGATTTACTGGATTATCTCAAATCTGAGCTCCCTAAGTGCGCTATAATCTTACATTCGGGCAAAGTTCTGGAAGAACAAATGTGAGGGTGCAAGTGATTGTTTTGAGAAATCTTGTAGTTTTTATTATTGAGTTTACAGCAATAGCAGCAAATCTGGGGAAACTTTGAAATACACCACTTTGAAGCATTTAACCACCCCTTAAAAATCACAGAATATGAATTCTAGTAATCTGAATATTTACATAGGTTCAAAAATGTCATAGCTTTATGATAGTGCAACGAAAAAAATCTCAGAACATTTTGGTGCTGAGTTAGGTGGTTAAGTAGTCGAAAAATGACTGATTTGTTAGTGGACATTTTTTATACCTCTTACACCCAAACCCTTATTACAGTGAAGATATGAGTAGTACAGTTAAAATTGATGGTCATTATTAAACAAAAATGGTTCATCGACACATAGTTGAAGAAGGAAATAAAAAAAATTAATAAATGTGGTCTGTGGAGTGGTTTATTTGTTTATGTTATAGTGTACGCGTGCGCGCGCGCTTGCGCGTACTTAACCATCTGTAGGCCAACATATTTAGTCTATGCTTAAATTCTTTATATATTATGTCACCACTATGGTGCCCAATACTTTTAGTGAAGGTCTGATGTAGAACAGTTAACCACCAACTGTGGTATATCAAAAAACCATGTTTGTACGCGTGCGCGCGCGCTTGCGCGTACTTAACCATCTGGTATGGCACAGCATTGAAATATCACTCTAATTTCAGAGGCAGAGGACACCATCCAGGTGCCCAAAACTTTTGGCTATGGTCCCAATACCATAAAACCTTAGATGTGGCCTCAATGTGGTTAAAACATGTATATTTTGGACTTTCGGTCAACAGAAGCCATCACAAATTAACCATTATTCAGCAACCTCCGAACTTTTTGTGCCTTATTTTGTTTTGATATTTGATTATGAGAGATAGCTGAAGGATAATAAGTGATTTTAAAGATTATGCAACAGAATGTGTGGCCGTATGGCGGTTAAAACGACCAAAAACACTGATTTAGGTCAATTTTAGACCTTTATTAACCATGCTGGACGCAACAAAGGACTCAGCAATGTTTTTGTGCACATAGATGAGCTGGTAGTTATATCTAGATAATGCAGCATGGCCAGCTATAGCTTTACAAAGCTAATATGTGCTCTAAAAATGGTTAATTAGAGCAAATATAGGATATTTTCGAGACATTTTAACCACCATACTGCACATTGATCATAATGCATGAACTTGGGGTCAATTATTGATTTGCAAACAATTATACACTCAATTGGATAGCAAACCATTATCCGAACTTCATATTGTGGTTAATTTTCACTTTAATAGATGCCTTGTTCAACAGCCTAGCAAGTCATATAGCCCTTTTAACCACTTTTATGACAACATTTCTTGATAACTTTTATCAAAACCCTTCAAATGTCCTTTGTTGACCAGAAAAAGTTGACTAAAAGCATTAATATTGTTTTGATTGGTGGTTAACAAAATATTTTGACGTTTTAACCATCTTTTTAGCACTTTTTACGAATATTAACCACCTAAAATTAACCATCTTACTATATATAAAGCGAGACGATATATATATATTTATTTATCCGTGCCATTTTACTGACACCACGGCATCAACTTTAACGCGAATTTCCGCAAAAATCGTAAAAGATATACAACTGAAACTTTTTTGACTGGGTCAAATGCTTTAATGGCCTTCAAATCAGCATGAAAAAATTAAAAATTGGCCAAGGAATAAGAATTTTAGTGCCCAAAATTTGGACTCCCAAGTGGTGTCAAAAACGCGAATTAAATAGGTAATAATTATTTTATTCTCTCGAGCCTTGACACCACTTTAGGGTAGACGGGTTCCTGCTAGTACTATTAAATTGCACATTTGTGATGAAAAATTATCATCCATGTACAAATGAACAACCACCACTATACATCTATAACCAGAGCAATATTTATTGCTCATCGTTCATCTTCCATTTAACCACCATTAGGACCACAAAATGCCCCCAATGAGGGTTTTAAACTTTTGTAATAGTTGCACCATGGGATGATCTCAATATAATGACTACTCATTTCATAATATCATATCTCAAAATTGTGGTTAACCCTAAAACTGGTATTTTAACCACCATAGTGGCCACATAGAGGATTCATTAACCTCAATTATTCAACATAACTGTCAGGGGTGTAGGAATGATTTTGTTCATGGGGGGGCCAAATTCTAAATATTTGTTGGCGCTTCGCGCCACAGCCTAAATTGTTTGGCGCTTCGCGCCAAAGCTTGAATTTCGAGGGTAAGGACAAAAGGAAATTGCAGCATGTGCGGTATCGCGATTTTTCACGTTTGCCGCGACAATTCGCAATTTTTCAGATCCTGGCCTCACGACAAATCGCGATTTTTGCAGTTCTCCGCGTCAAATTGTGCATTTTTCTTTAAATCTGAGGACTAAATTCGCGTATTTTCCTTCAAATCTGTGGGCCAAATATCACGTTTTCTATAATTAATATATGAAACCAATCAGTATTACATCCACAACCTTTCGAATGCAGGTGCGGACTTCGGAAACCGAAAAAAATATTTTCGGCTCAGAATGATCAGGGTAGCATGAAACATGAACAAAAGTAATTTCCAGAAAAACTTTGAAAAATTTGGACTTAGAAAATTTTCGGTCCGAGTCATTCGACATTCTCGATACGTACCTCTGAAAGCAGAGCTCCCTCTTCCGAGCTCGTATTGCGAAGGGGAGGCCTGCCTTTCAAGATCGAATTACAAAGGTGAACCCTCGAGTCCAAAATCGTATATCGAACTTCGAAAACCGAAAAAAAAATTTTCGGCTCAGAATGATCAGGGTAGCATGAAACATGAACAAAAGTAATTTCCAGAAAAACTTTGCAAAATTTTGACTTATAAAATTTTCGGTCCGAGTCATTCTCGATACGTACCTCTGAAAACAGAGCTCCCGCTTCCGAGCTCGTATTGCGAAGGGGAGGCCTGCCATCCGAGATCGCATCACAAAGAGGAACCCTCGAGTCCAAAATCGTATATCGAAGTTCGAAAACCGAAAAAAATATTTTTGACTCATAATGATCAGGGTAGCATGAAACATGAACAAAAGTAGTTTTCAAGAAAACTTTGAAAATTTTTGACTTTTAAAAATTTTCGGGGAAATTAAAAAGTTGGCCCTTTTTGGCCCCTTGCCCAGATTTCATGGGGGGGGGGGGGGCGATGGCCCCCCCTGCCCCCCCGCTTCCTACACCCCTGATAACTGTACTGCAGTGTTTTGTGCACCAGAAAAACATCACTCCAACATTGAGATTAACCACAATAAGCTGCAATATCATGTTGAAGTCAACATACACAAATTTTGTGAAAAAAGTCAATGTCCACCAAGTTTCCCCAGATTTGCTGCTATTGCTGTTTAAATTTTAATACGATATTTATTATTGCTGGCCCTTTTGTTAGAAAGTTTTGATTTTTTGATATTTTTTTAATTGTTCAACTTCAGTGTGGTTATTTATGTATTTATTGCTTTCCAAACCGCAGCGGTTATAAACTTATCATGAAAATGTTATGTACATAAAAATAATCGATTATTGAGGAGTTATAAAGTGAGCTAATTTTATGTGCGTGATTGAATTTTTGATCCTGCATTTCTTTTCCTTTCTACTTTTCTACAGAGAGTTTCTTAGAAACTCAATTTCTAATCCAGTCTCTTTGTTATTATGTAGTTTTTGGAAGTAAGAACTAGGATGTTAATACTAACACAGACTCTTTCTGATCATGTCTCATTATTGACATTTCGAGCTAACGTGCAACTTCAATATTTTGCTAATATGACGCCATTATCGGCGCAACTGCAATGCCATTTTGCCGCTACCAGCTCAGAAATGCCACTTTCCTTACTTTTGTAGATTGAATTAGTTTTAAATGATTTCCAGTGACTCTCGGAACTTAGTTTCTAATCCTGTCTCACTGTTCTATATTTGTAGTTAGGATGTTAAGACTTACACAGACCGTGCTCCGGCCAACTTGTCAGCTGGTTCAGCAGACTGTAAGCTATCACGCCAATGTTATTGATCACTACGAGAATCCCAGGTATGTATTATTAGAATCCCAGGTATACATACATGTATTATAGGGCTCTGTATTTGCAGTATTTGGTTCTAATTTATCCACATTTTATTCACCCAACGCGAACGTATGGGGTTGGGATAAGGTCAGGAATAGAATTTCTGTGTAATATTATCTTCAATTTGGTTAATTTCTAAATTCTACATACATCAGATTATATGAAATCGTTTGTGCCATCATCAACTTCATAAGTCTGCAGAAGTATTAAAACCTGCAGTAAACCTATTTGAAGTTGGTGGTTGTTATGAAAATTAGACCATCTTCTTTCTTAGCTTATATTAGGCTAGTGATATCAAGTACAGATTCTAACACTTATTACCAACTTCGACATTAAAACATACCCCAAAAGATATTAAGTCTTTAAATCAAAGATAGAATCATACTTTTATTGTGTTTCTTTGAAATGTAATGAATGTTATCCCCAGGAATGTGGGATCCTTCAAGAAGAGTGAGGGTGGTGTGGGGACTGGTTTAGTTGGAGCCCCCGCCTGCGGTGACGTCATGAAGCTCCAGGTAATGTTACAGAGCAGAGCAAATCCCTAGATCTGAAATTAACTTAATTGGTGCATAAGTGCTCTTGTTATAGAATTCTTTAATATCATTAGAAATGAACGTTTATGTTTATATTCTTTCGGCATCTGGAAAGTTTTGGTTCCTACGATTTTTGTTTTCTCAGCTGAAAGTAGATGATGATGGAAGGATAATTGACGCGAAGTTTAAAACCTTTGGATGTGGTTCTGCCATCGCTTCAAGCTCACTGGCTACAGAATGGGTCAAAGGAAAACATGTACGTAGTTTTAAGTTAGATTGATTGTCTTGGTAGTCGAATATTTATTGGCATATTCTGTTTACACTTTACAAACTTCATCTTCTGATGACTTGTTTGGAGACTTGAGATAACATCATGTTTTTACTAGGTGGACGACGCTTCCAAGATTAAAAACACAGACATTGCCAAGGAACTGTGCTTGCCCCCTGTTAAGCTACATTGTTCTAGTAAGTTCTATCCGGTTATTTGTGATTCTTTGTGGAAAAATCCATAAAACATCTTACTACGGAACAAAATGTTTTCGCAGTTACCATAGCAATGTTTGTCGCAATCGCGTTTAAGGGGACATACACCAAAACCTTTTAAGCCGGGACCCTCGATTTGACTTCATATTATGATGGTTAAAGTGTACGTGCTGTACATGTTTATGAAGTATAAGATCATGGGAACCATGCTTGGCCGACGACCAAACTTAAAATTCCAGCGGCACGCGCGGTCTACAAATCAATATAAGCTGGATAGTCTAACGTAGAAGGCAACTTAACGAACGCGCATTCTGCTGCGCGGTCGCTTAGCTCATTTCCAGTAAAATCCGATTAAATACACAGAATTGATACAGTATTTTAAGATTCATTACTTGTTTGGGCTTGGACACAGCTGCTTGCAAGTGTATTTTCTACACAATAACTATGCTTAAAATGAGGGGGGGGGGGGGGGGGGGCGATGAGCCCCCCATATTGATGGCCACTATATTCTCGTTAGTCCTGATTAATAAATTAATTAAATCTCTATGTCTTCAAAAACTGTTAAGAATTCAAATTCCGTCATCAACAAATTTCTAACGTGTCCCCATGTTTCAGTGCTAGCAGAGGACGCAATCAAAGCAGCTATCGCAGACTACAGGACTAAGAATACCAAAGAATGAGATATTGAGAGCCGACCCTCCACATTTGCACTGATCGTCAAAGAATTAATTAGACCCTCTTAAAACTTTTGACTTTATGTGATAATTTGATACCATAGCCATTGCATGTTTGTTTATCTATTGTATTTGAATTCACAAAATGTGATGCTACGGTTAATTTATTACATGGGTGACAGTGTTCCTTACTAAACAAAAGATTATTGCCATAAAATTGTTCAACATTTTAACAAGTTTTAGCAAATATTACACGCATTTCATTTCTCTTTGGATTGTTTTGTGAACAAGACGTTAAGACTGTGTAACAATCAAAGATTCCAACAAAATTCTTTGTTTACGAATTTGTTTAAAGGAGAAAAGTACAGACCTGCTTTCACCTTATATAATTTCTCTTCGTTAAAACTTATTTGCATCCTGTAAGTGTAAGTCCTCTTCTGTATCCAGACCTACCCTCGGGCAGTCATGAACCCTGTTATAACAGTAACTGCAGCACTGTACCATAGAGAGAGAGAGAGAGAGAGGTATTATATAAGTCACACCATTACTCCACACACCGCACTGCGGTCTATACAGCACGATCAAGCCAAAGTAATAACTAATACGGTTATTGTAGCGGAGGCAGTGCACGTGCTCTGATTGTGACTTTACCCCCGTGGTATCTGTACAGCATTGTGTTCGCTATTGTATCGCTCCTACACCCTGTAAATACTTGATTGGTCGAGTCTTCGTACTAGTAGAACAATAGCGGTGGCTTTTCTCCACAAGCCAAACTTTGAGTTTACTGACCGTTACAGTGTTTGTTCCGTTGCGTCTCTGATTACATTCAATTTGAAGTGGAGATACCCGCCAGTACAGTTCAGCTTTAATAATGACAGACACCGCAGCTCTAGTCAAGGTCAGGCCCCCAGATTAAAGATTATACTCATATCCTACAAGACTTCTTGTATTGTTTCTTAAAACAGATAGCGATTCTCCTATCAGATTGCTGTCATCTGACACCGACTCTTCATCACTGCTGTTTTAATGTGTCCTTCGAACAATAACACCGAGCTACATCACGTTACCAGGAGTTTGAAGCAGCTTGTAAGAGTATAGAGAACGCGGGGGAACCCGTGCGAACCAAGATCAGCATGAGGGACCTGCTGGAACTGTACGCTCTCTTCAAGCAGTCCAAAGTAGGCGACTGCAATACAGGTTTATATAAATACAGGTTTATATAAATACAGGTTTATATAAATACAGGTTTATATAAATACAGGTTTATATAAATACAGGTTTATATAAATACAGGTTTATATAAATACAGGTTTATATAAATACAGGTTTATATAAATACAGGTTTATATAAATACAGGTTTATATAAATACAGGTTTATATAAATACAGGTTTATATAAATACAGGTTTATATAAATACAGGTTTATATAAATACAGGTTTATATAAATACAGGTTTATATAAATACAGGTTTATATAAATACAGGTTTATATAAATACAGGTTTATATAAATACAGGTTTATATAAATACAGGTTTATATAGATACAGGTTTATATAAATACAGGTTTATATAAATACAGGTTTATATAAATACAGGTTTATATAAATACAGGTTTATATAAATACAGGTTTATATAAATACAGGTTTATATAAATACAGGTTTATATAAATACAGGTTTATATAAATACAGGTTTATATAAATACAGGTTTATATAAATACAGGTTTATATAGATACAGGTTTATATAAATACAGGTTTATATAAATACAGGTTTATATAAATACAGGTTTAACTACGAGTACGATCTGTTAGGTTCATGTCAGGATATTTTTTAGGGAGCGTGATTATTCTTTCACTGATTCAAGATGAAAGGGTCCCCACTCCCCTTAGTTCAGGCAAAATTGATATATCGTATAATTATTTGAACGTATTTATATATGAATTACCTTTCAGCTCGGCCGAGATACCCAAACTTTAAAGGAATGTCGCAGTGGGACGCCTGGAAGAGTAAAACAGGTTCCAGCGACCAGCACATTATTATCATCACGATTTCTATTTAGAATATTATAATAATTTCATAATATTAAAAACATAACGGTAAGTTTCATAAGAGCTAATCACGCTTTTATAAAAGAAAAGCCAACTTTGAAATGTGAATTAACGCGCCCATAATAAGAACGATTTTATACTTATGATTTTGATTGCCTAAAATTTCAGGGATGACAAAAGAGGAAACGATGACAGGTTACTGTGATCTTGTGAAGAATATATTCATAACAATAGAGTCCGAGTAGTGTTTAATATTGTTCATTAATTGCACATTCATGTGCGACCAAAATAAGATAGAACTATAATGAGCTCACAAACACCAAGGTTTAAATAATGCAATGTATAAAAACTTTAAGTTTTATTTCTTTATGTGTGACCGCAGTGATGAATTTAGTCGTTTTATACGGCAGTTTGCCATTTTGAAAAATTACGTTCTAAGCTGTGATCTCAGAACGGTGCTTTTCCATTTTCGTGGGACAAACCTTGATGAAAAAGTTTTACGTTAATGCTCATGTCTATAAGTATATTTTAAATGTGATGGGCAGTCAATGGTAACCTTAGATTTAGAATTGCGACGCTCGAAAACATTGCAGCTTATTATGATATTATGATACGATGTCTGAGCGCTGTTTGACGGCATTAAGCTTTTACTTTCAATTTATTATTTGTTTATATTTAAGGGTTGTGACTAGTCCATTTTGAAACTGACATTTAAGTAATTGAAAAAGAAGAAGTTTGTTTTTTAAACAATCATAGAATTCAAATCAAATGAAAACAGAGCAAACAACTCAAAATATCCGTAAATTATCAGCAACTTTTTATTCCAATTCCTCATTGGATTACTAAACTGCAGTCTCAACTCTCAGACTAGACTTAATACTACCAAGAAGAAGCAAGAGTATTTTATGATTCTCAAAACTGAAAACCTTCCACATTAGAAATAAAGTTACTAACCTCATATATAAAATAAATACTACTTTCGTATCGGCCCTAATGAGAACAGCCTTGGTGCCTATAATATATGAATAACGATTCGGACGGCAATGGGATGGTTTCAATTATATATTATTATTACTTATCTGCAAAATTACAGATTGGAAATTCCGGTCGCATATCCAATAAAAATATTGTGCGGTAAGGCTTGTCGTTTAACAAGAGCCGTTCGAATCAGGGCCGAATAAGTTAATATAAATTATCTACTTACTTCAGCTTATCAGTATAAAATAATCAAACAGTCAACACTGCAATAGATAGCTTAAATAAGAAAGTTACTCCATTGTGAGTGTATCTGATAGAGCTACTAGAGTCAAAGTAATAGTCAAACTGAATACTAGCCAAGTATCTTGCTCTATTTCTTCCATTTTAACTCAAATACCCAGATAAAGGTATTCTGATAAGGTAATACACGTGACCGACGGTCAACAAGCTCAGTAACAAATAAAATAAATCACCAATGTAAAGATCAAAGCTAATAACAAACTACCCCACTTTATTTCCACTTTTTATTCAAAGCTTTATTTTCAGCTAGAGCTTGAGTCACTATCGTGGCGAAGCAAAGTCCCAGTAAAACTAGTCCTATAAGATAATAGTCGAAATCTTCGTTCAACATGTCGAATGTCTTGGCTGGAGTCACCTGAAAATAGAACTAGGTTAGGGATGATTGAGGTAATTTAAGGTTGATTGTCTTCATTAATTAGATAACATAAAAGAGAGATCTCCCCATCTTTTTTATATTTTTTTATATTTACTTTATTTACAATTGAAACTTCAAACTCAGCGCCATTGTATTCCAAATGAATCTTAATCAGCCGAGACTAAGGTGCTCTAGAATTAGATGCTAATGGTCTAGTTCTACTTTATTTTAATGTCACCAGGACAAACATCCGGACTTCAGTTGATTTCACTGGCCGAGAGTCTCTTAACTATTTGCAAGTGTCCACCCGCTGTCCTATATCAATCTAAAGGCAGCTGTGTTGACAGACGAGCCGGAACGAATTATGAAGTAGAAATTAATGAACTAGTACAGGTGTCTACTTGTTTTTACAACAAATAACAATTAACAAAATGAGAATGGAGATAATGACAAGGGATCTGGAGGTGCCTCGTGGGGTCGGCTTTTTAATGAAGACAAACTAATACCCAACTATAGAGTTTAATTAAAGGCTAGCTATTAAAGTCAAGGAGCACAGTTTATTGTATTATATATTGTTAAGTTCGCTGTTAGTACTTTGGCTTGATCCGAGGAGATGCTGGGGAGAAGTAACTTTTGTCGAATCGCCTTAGTTGTGTTTGCAGCCTTACTGGCCATTTATACAACAAATAATGGTGAGCATATAATTAGCAACTAATTAATTAACCTTCTAATCTTAATACCAAGCATCTAGGAGCGCAACGTAGAAAATATTGTGCACACAGTTTCCAAACCTGTATTTATTTTCCGTATTTGATTGCCTGGATTATCATAAAGGAATAAAACATAGCAATGTGCTGAGCAGCTATATTTTTGACAGGTCCATCACGAAAATCAATATTTCAGAGTGGAGAGATGTTTCCTTCGGGGAATATCTAGATGTGGAAATAGACCAAGGGTTAGAAATAAAGATACTGTACAATCCAGAGGATCCTAACAAGGTCGTCAGAGTTTACTTCTGTAACTCAGAAATAAACTGTTACTTTTTCGAGCTTCAGCTCGGTAGCGGTTTATACTTGTATCACGGATGTACTGAAGGCTACCTTGATCTGCCAAAAGATGAAGAAAACAAACCTTGGATTCTCAAGATCTACAGAAGAAAAGCTCGGTTGATGATAGACTTGAATGGAGTAAACAGACTAGAGCACGACACAACATTAGGAAGCTGTTCCGAATTCTGGAAAGCAAGTCAGATTTCCAATGTGAAGTTCGATGCAATCTCTCAAAACGTGATGACACAGTACAGGATAGCAGTGCCACAGCAGAACGAGGATTTTACAGGTAAAATATACATTTTAAAATACTGAAAGTTAAGGAGGTAACGAAGGAGGGACGGATTTAGCAGGTCAACACTATACAAAATTATTAACATGGGCGGCATAGTATTAAAAGTGTCGATTCCTTCAGCAGGGAATAAAAAACAACCTTAACACAGATACTTTTAACATAACCCCTTATATAATAGAGCAGCAGTAATTTAACACGTTTTACATCCTTCTCGTGAACCAAGCAGAGACACAAGTTCTTAATACACAAGCACGTATCTGGACGGAGGTGGCTTTAAGAGGGGCCGGGAGTGACACTTCGAGGAGGGAGCAGAACCTGTCTCCAAAGAGACTGAAGGAAGAGTGCACTGTAAGATGATGCAGCACAGAAATAGATCAGGTTAGCAGATATTCTAATTACTTTTTTGAGTTTACTCAGTGAACATCACACAAGGCTGATCTTTACTATTGCTACAAGGCCGGTCAGGGTCCCAATCTACAAAACTTTAAATACTATTTATTGGGGACACAGCACCTGAAACTAACTCTTATTTCAGGGGTTAAGACTGTTTGGAGAGAAGAAAGTATATGTTTAGAGAGAAGATAGGAACTCTTTGGAGTGAAGATGGGAACAACTGTAGGGTACAGACAGTGGTAACACTACAAAATACAGCACTGTTCAACTAACTGATATTATCAGACTGTTTATATGAACATAAATCTGAGGTTGCAAATGATTTAATGACGAGTGCTTAAAGGACCATTGAATACGGGTTTTATTGTGGTTATATGACAGTATAAGTGTTTGTTATAGATTGTTCTAGTACATTTGCAGTTCTGTTTTGCGACATTTGTTGTTGCTTTTCCGTTCATTCAGAGGGTAAAACTTATTTTGAGTGCACTAAAGGATTTATAAACTTTGCTCTTAATTATTTGCTTGCGTAACATCTTAATACGATATAGTTAAGTTACTATTGGGGTTACTATTATATACTCATACTGAAAATCCCCCGAGTTTCAATTAGACATATTATATCAATTAAAGTATCATACTTATGATTCCTTTTTGAATCATATGTATATCAACTGTGGACACGTACCCTTGCAAAATAGAGGTCAGTTCCGTAAGCGAAGAGGAGAGATGTGGACTCAAGACCGGTAACACCCGTAACCATGCCAGTGATATCTTGTAGCTGAAATCAGTACATATCATATCAGTCAACTACAGCAAACAGATAGATTTCAAATTTATCTAAAACATTATCTGATCTGTCAGTGAATATCATGTGACATAATTGATTCCATTATTTATTGTGATCGAAGTAAATAACACAATTCAGAGTACCGTACCGTTTTGTTGTAGGTAACGTAAGACATGGGAGCTAGAGCGAGTTGCGGGGTGTAGGGTACCAGCTGTTCTTGTCTGTCCTCAGCTGTGGGGATGGTGGGTCTGCGGGGGTCCAGTAGGGCCTTGGGTACCAGAGCTATCCTGCCTCCTGATTCAGCAACTGAGCAGAGTTAGTAGTGTTAGTAGTGTTAGTAGTGTAGTTACCATGATTACGTGGTAGTTACCATGGTTACGTGGTGTGTAGAATGTGAAACTGGCTTACACAAGGTGTGTTTGACTTAAGTTGCTGGAAGTTCAGGGAGCATTTATTAACCCAGCTGTACTTATTGAGGGCTTGGAGTAATCCTTCAGTATAGTTTATTGACTACTACATGACATGACTTACAAAGTACAGCCCGGTTAGTGATGGACTTGAGAGTAGTTGTAACAGCGACAGCAGAGAGAGGGGAGGTTGCGATGTAAGCTTGTTGGATTGAGAAGGAGGGGGTCCGGGGGAACAGGGACGAAAACTCAGTCCTGAGGGAAGGAGTAGTATTAGTGAGGTACTGTTAGGTACAATAGTTACAAACTGTGGTTTATAGTTTCATTACACGGAGAAGTGAAATAATCTATTATTAAGTAATCAGATTTTTTCCGTTCACCCTTCTGTAAAAAGGCAATAGTGAAAGGTTACGAATGGACGTTTTTGCAGAAAAACGTGGATTTTGGAGATAGCGATAGGCGGGTCTGAATATGTTGTCATCTGTCCTTACTTCCGTCCGTTACCATGACAACCAGCGCGCAGTGCAGCGCGCGAGGATTGCTTGCGGAGATGTGATATATAGATAGCCTGTGGTCAATGAATGCGCGGCGCGACTGTATTTCAATGTATATAACGGTGTAATGTATTGTATTAGGTTATAAGCCCAATTTGTACGTGGCATGCGTAGTATAATGTACTAATGTGTATCAATATTATTATTATGAAGTGAGCTGATTGGAGCTTATATTTATAGTTAATGTTATAGTGAACGGAAATCTAGCGTCCGCCAAAACGAAACATCGGGCGCAATTCTTGTTAAATTTTGAGAACTTAAGAAATACATAGCACAAACTTGTTATATAATATAAATAGCACTTAATAATAATGTGCTAGTATAAAAGCTAATTTAACTGCTACATACGTGTTAGGAGCGCTGGGTAGGAAGAACTCCACGACCACCACCTCGTATCTCCTCAGCTTGCTGCACCAGATGTGGTAAAGTAACCAGTTCTCCACCACCAGGAGGTGCACTGGACCAGAGTACTGTTTGTGTCGGGCGTGGTACAGCTGGGTGCCGGATATCATGTCGTACAGCTGCACGTCCACCAGAACTGAGAGGTGGAGTTAGTTTACTGGGGGGCCGGGGGGGGGGGGGGGGTTAGTTTAGCGGGGGGGCTGGTATTTAGCGGGGGATTCTAGCCTACTTTAACAGACATAAAGGTGAGATTCAACATTTAGACCAATGTTGTGTTTCAGATATTCAAGCAAATCTACAGGTCAAATATAAGAACTTGTTATGCTTAAAAGGAAATTAAAAAAAAGTAAAAACCCTTATCTCCAGCTCCTGACTCTACTGCAACAGCCATCACATTGGGGTTGATGTACTTGTGAAGAACGGACCTGTCCCCTAGTACTCTACCTTGAGAGTAAACTGCGTCTGTGGTACAATGGGAATGTTAGATTAATACAGGCAAGAGCTGCAGTTATAATTTGTTGAGTGTTAAATGGGCAACTAGATACTAAGATACCTTGTACCGGAGCGCTGATGGGATTTAATTGTAATTATCATCTGTGTTTAAAACTAACCATTAGTAGCTTTACTTTTCACATCTAATATCTTGTCTCCTCTCAGATGAGCTGACCAAGTTTCTTCAACTCTTGTTCCTGCGATTAGAACGTTACTTACTATTTACAGTGGCTATGATAGGCAAATTAGAACTATCAAAAGAAACCTCCAACAGTTTGTGCTATCTTATCAATAATCCATACATTACAAATTCAAACTCATCCACAATCGACCAACCAAAAGCTGGCCCTGTTTTTTGCAACTTAAAACTTATATGATCAGCTTTTTCAGTCCTCTTCATTCTTTTCCTTAAATGTTGTTCCTACCTTTGAGGAAAAATCCCTTGAGTTCCATCTGGTCAGGGTATACGAGAGTGAAATAGAGTGGGAGATGTTCCACTAGCTTGTGAAGTCGGGGAGGGTAGGTGTGTACCTGGAGTAATTAGTTAATTAGTTAATTAGTCTAGTTAATGAGTTAATTGTACGATATGCTAATTAGTTAATTAGTTAATTGGATGATAAGTCGATTATATAATGAATGTGTAGATCATGGCCATATCTACTTTAATCAATTAGAAAATATCATCGCAATTTTAGGTTCTAACTATGTCTCATTATGCAAGACATTTATGACATATTCTTTAATAGAAAGTTCTATTCAAAATGTAAAAAACCAGTACCTCGTTGTCATCCGTAAGAATCAGCATGACCTTGGCGAACTCATTATCTTCTACAGCAGTCAGCTGAATCTGAAACCATATAAAATTAGAAAATTATGTAGATCAGTAGTTTAATTTCTAAACGACAAAATAGGAATAGCTTAATTCGACAACGAATTGAACACCGTTAAATCGTTAATAGTATTAACAACAATATTGTGTTGAATAAATAATATTGTGTTGTATAAAAAGACAGTTTCTATGTCTAAACCTGAGCTAGTTTAGACTCGAACTCTTGTCTGTACTGCAGTGATCCATCAAGGGGGTTCAGAACCGTCAGAACTGCTTTCTTACTGTCCTGTGGTAACAGTGTTACGATGTAGAACACAGATAATTTAAGATTGAATGATTATGAAAATGTGTAACTAGCATCATCAAGGAGGGAATAACAACAACATTTAAAAAGGTTCCAACTAGAAGTAACTCACTAAAGAAGTGCCCAACACAGCAACCAGGGCTGGGAGAGGATAGTGAGAAGCTGATCTGATCATGTGCACTTGGTACTGTCCGTTGGAGAGCGGGGCGATGTTATCTAGATACCTGACAGGGGTTTGGTTGGTATTTTGGGGGTATTTAGCAGAGATTTTAGAGAGGTGGGAATTTATTTTGAAGTGAAAAGAAGTTGCAGAAGATTAGCTAAGGAGGTCATCTTATTGTGCCTATTCTACAACACAATGATAATCTTATCCCTGTACAACCAACAGCTTGATCCAGAACACACGCTTTAAAAAACAAACCTGCTCCAAATAATACGAGCAGTGCCGGAATGCAGCACGTGCACTTTTCCACAGGTGGAGATTGCAAAGATCAACTTGTTGAGGTTGAAAGAGTCCCGCTCCATCTCCGGAGACACATCAATAAGTGCCGTTCCAAAGTACAGGTTTATGAACTTCTGTTAGGGGAAAAGAGTTAAATTAATACTACTGTTAAAGGAAATACTACTCATTGGTTGAACATTCATATTTAGCAAACTTTTATTTGGATTAGCATTTTTATTTACTCTGGGTTATCAGCAAACTCGCAGGTACCAAAGAAGACGACGATACCTAAATGAAATTAACAGAGAAACATGGAAACCTGGAGATCTTGCAGCTGCATGGTGATTCGTTCAGTCCACAGCTTGATAGGGTTAGTGTGGCGGTGAAGACTGACAGGGATAAAGGAGCTGGCAGGAAGGTCCAGTAAAGTAGCCGATACAACTGGGATAGTTTATACATTATACATTATTCACTTACACGAAACACAGTAAAGTAGCCGATACAACTGGGATAGTTTATACATTTACACAAAACACAAATGTTATGAATTATAATCCTTCAATCTGGGACACTACACTTAAATGTCATGAATTTGAGAGAAGACAGCTACAAAAGGATGAAAATTGAGAAAAGACAGCTAAAAAAGACTGACCAGAAGAGAGACTCTCCTCCCTGATCCAGCCACAAGTTTTGTTACTTCCAACAACTGTCACAGACTGATCCTTCCAAGTGAGGAACAAACCTGGCACCCTCACTGTTGTCACTGAGGGTACAGGTAAGTGAGGGGGGATTGATAGTCTAATTTGGTTAATCTATAGCTGCTACTCAATGATAATTTTAACTAGATCGTCGTAGCACATTTTTGGTTAAATAAGGCTGGATATGACGTACTCAGACTACAAGGATGAGAGGCAGTAAGAGTAGTCATGCTGAGAACACCTCCTCTTCCCTCTGCTAACTCTCCTAGAGAGTAGGAGTGAGCTTCGAACCCGTTAGAGAGCTGAACTAGAGACACAGTGTGATCTGCACGGGACACGAGGGCGATGTGATCTGATCCTACCACTTGTCCTATAACGTCCTGAGGAATTTGTAGAAATTAGGAAATATTTCTCTTTAATTTCTGTGGAGAATTACCTTATTATGGATTAGTCTTTACAAGACCGTTAATTCGGAGGGAAATACTTTTTCCTATTTGCGAAAAAATGAATTTTGAAGGTAACAAAAAGTAAGGATATAGGGATAAGTTGACTGGAACACATGTGATCGTGAGGAGTAGATTAGTAGATAATATTCTTCTATTAGTAGATAATATTCTTCTATAAAATCTCCATTTTATTAACAGCTTTTCTGCGCAGGAAACTGTTGAAATATCTTAAACCCGGCATAAAGGAATATTCCATGTATAAAGCTGAATTTAACTCCTAAAACCAATTTCTATGATTTCAGTATATATTTCAAAACCAACTTATCAACACGCTGCTATCAATTATTGGTTATCTCAATAACAATTAAGGTTTCCTGGCACGAGCTGACATAACCTGATAACCCCACCTAAACTCAATCCTTTGAACTCCAACCTGACCAACAATCTTACCTCAATCTAACATTGGCCCCTTCTGAGTCGGGATGTTTCCATTTTATTTCATAGAATATAATCTGGTAGGACAGACAAAGTTTATCAATTAATTTTCCTCGTTCAGTTTGTAATGCACAGTGATCTGGTGAGGAGATGTGTTTATCTTAAAACTGTGAGGTATAAAAACCTTGCAATTTCTTATCCGACTTTTTAAACTCCTTATCTCACGCCGCCGACCATTACAAATTGTTCTAAATCTGTCTCAGTCTACGTCACTTGCATGACTTCAACAACTAATGAAATTCCACTCAATAAAACTATTGGCAAAGGTAACCTGACCTGTACTATACGGCTGTGTGCTTCAAAGATCATATTGCAGTCTGGTAACCACGTTTTTCGTTTCAATGTAAGCCTCTGACACTAGAATCACATACATGTACATGTATTAAGACGCAATGAAACTACCGGACTACGATATATGGGGACTTGCCACCCCATGGCAACATTAAAATATATCGACTCTGTTACATCGTTTCCTCAAATTATTTGTTATATAGTAGTGTTGAAAGTATTGACTAGAATCACATACATTGTACATGCACCTTGTCCATGTCAACATCCACTTTAAACACACACACGCAGCTTGTCAAGGTGTCTTTATTCCTATTTAACATTCCTTGACAGAGTTGTAACAGGTTGTACAGTAGTAAGAGTGTTAAGTTGTAGGTATCTAGAACTAGTGGGCATTGTGCGTATCAAGTAGGGTTTCTGTGCAGCTAGTACACATTGCACATCTTCTACTGTTCATTGTGCTGTATAGATCATTTTATTTTGAGGGACCATGTTTGTTCACTGGTTGCGGTATTTCTTGCTCTTCGTTTGACAATATTAAAATTCCTCTTTAAATTAGTCCGCCTTGGATTTTTTACAAGTCGTTGTACATAGTACATACATAAGAAAGTCTTATTATGTTAATTTTTACAGTAACTGTATCGTTATTTCTAACATTTAAATTCGTCCCACAATGTTCATTATTTCTCGTTCAACACACATGTTAAGAGAATGCAAGGAAGCATGCTAAGAATGTAACTTTATTTAATACACCCCTTGCAAACTGACCCCTCTACTCTTTATATTATGTGTAAAATGAGATGACGCTAAACACTTGAGTTATCTTATTTCCCGTGAGTAATTCATTTAGATTTGTGTGTGTGTCGGCGTGTAGGAGTGTTTGCTGTTCCTATTAGTACTCTATTTGTTGTGTTGGCAACCCTGACCAGGAATGATGAAATGTACATACCTTCAATTCCTGAGAGTTCTGGCTATTCTTATTGTTATTTTGTTCATTACTTGTACTGCTGGATAAAAACATATGTCCTGATGCTGGTACATAACGCCGACGCTGGGCTGTTGTACTACCTTTTGTGTTGATGCTATTTTAATTTTTAGGAAATTCGAGTTATTCAGAAATCTGTACACCTTATTCTAACAGATTTTAATGCTATATGACGTGACTGATGTGATCTGGTTTTGCTAAAAATAGCCGCTCTGATCACGTACTCTTTTACTCCCGGATATTCAACCCTAAATAAGCGGCAATACATTTCAGTTTTCAGAACCTTAAATTACAAATTGAATTGGAAGTTGAGTAGGAGATTTTCTCATTCTCGTGGCAATGATTTAAATAATACGAGTCATAAGACAAAGTGACAATTAGGACATCATCTGTTTGCCTGTCATTTCATTTTGACTAAGTTGCTGCATTTAATCGTATAACCTGTCAGAATTTTCCTACTATATTTAAATACTATCTTTTGTTGTCACGAACAGACGATTTTTCGGCAAATTTTTGATTTGTTATAACGCCAATCCAATCACAAACGGCGAGCCAACAACTTAATAATATAGAAGTGCTATGTTACCCTATACCTGCAAGGGTAACCACTTCAGATCCTCATCACCACTTTTATCAGGCCATGTTCCAACTTGTGCTGCTAAGTTGTCTTTTAGTTCGGATACACAGTATACGAGATAGCGGCTTTTACTTACTGGATGAAAACAAGGAGTACACTAACAATGGACTTCTCATTGCAGACAAGATCTCTCATCATATGGTGAATATTTGTGTTAGTGTTGTTATTGGTGTTAGTGTTGTTAGTAAATGTGCATTACCACAACGTTATCATAGCTGAAGACAGTGAGATAATTGTTAGTCACTAATAATTATCTCACTAATAATGTTAGTGGTTTTTATTCGTGTTGCATGTCCCCTCACTCCTTACTAATCCCCACCAAGAATCCTGACCAACAGATAGGTTCAGTGTGTGATGACAACTTTGACGACACGGCAGCCACCGTGATCTGTAGGGAGATGAAATTCAACACTTCTATATCCTTCGCTTCTGGGTCCAACACGGAGTACACTAGCTGGAGGATGAAGAAAGACTTTGATATCGTACTAGACGACATTACTTGTGAAGATCCAGGTACCTGGTACACGGTTGCTTTACGGCTGAACATAACCATCAACCATTCCATCATATTAATTAAATTTCATAGAGCTGTATAGAGCACAACCCTCCTACCCCCATATTTGTAGCCCTGAATAACCCTCTCTCCCCAGATTTGTTGCGCCGAATAACCCTTCAATCCCAGATTTGTAGCCCTCAATAACCATCTCTCCCCAGATTTGTAGCGCCGAATAACCCTTCAACCCCAGATTTGTAGCCCTGAATAACCCTCTCTTCCCAGATCTGTAGCGCCGAATAACCCTTCAACCCCAGATTTGTAGCCCTGAATAACCCTCTCTTCCCAGATCTGTAGCGCCGAATAACCCTTCAACCCTAGATTTGTAGCCCTGAATAACCCTCTCTTCCCAGATCTGTAGCGCCGAATAACCCTTCAACCCCAGATTTGTAGCCCTGAATAACCCTCTCTCCCCAGATTTGTTGCGCCGAATAACCCTTCAATCCCAGATTTGTAGCCCTCAATAACCATCTCTCCCCAGATCTGTAGCGCCGAATAACCCTTCAACCCAAGATTTGTAGCCCTGAATAACCATCTCTCCCCAGATCTGTAGCGCCGAATAACCCTTCAACCCAAGATTTGTAGCCCTGAATAACCCTCTCTCCCCAGATCTGTAGCGCCGAATAACCCTTCCACCCTAGATTTGTAGCCCTGAATAACCCTCTCTTCCCAGATCTGTAGCGCCGAATAACCCTTCCACCCTAGATTTGTAGCCCTGAATAACCCTCTCTCCCCAGATTTGTTGCGCCGAATAACCCTTCCACCCAAGATATGTAGCCCTGAATAACCCTCTCTTCCCAGATCTGTAGCGCCGAATAACCCTTCAACCCAAGATATGTAGCCCTGAATAACCATCTCTCCCCAGATTTGCCGTTCTCCAGCTGTTCGATAGTAACAGAGCACGACTGCCAACACAAGCACGAGCAGGTGTTCCTGTGGTGCGGGTGTACCCCTGGTGATTATGTGCGGCCCCAATATAAGGGTTGTGCTCCGTGCCCTGAGCAATCTGTGGGGTCTCAGGATGACATCATGTCTTGTGTTTGTGGGGTGGGGACAGTCTGGGAGTACGAGGCGTGAGTTATATATATTGTTAATTAAATAGGAAACTGGAGGGACAAGTAATCTTTTATTCAAAGTCCTTTGGCAAATATCAAACTTATTTGAGTTTAAAATGAAAAATGAGAGTTCTTTGTCCAAAGCAGTAAGCATGTTTCAATAAACCGGCCCCCACTCTCAGTTGTAACGAATGTCCAGTAGACACGTACAAAGACGCTGTAGACGAGTCAGCGTGTCAGAGCTGTCCGGAACACTCCACCTCTGAACCAGGAGCCGAGATCTGTACATGTGATGCGAGCTATTTCTGGAACAACGGGAACTGCTTCAAGTGCCCTGCTCACACTGTTAGTTCTAGGGGCAGCAAGGCACTTATAGAGTGTATCAGGTACAACTAGTCAAGTCTACTTTATTACATTGTAACATCAGGAGCTGTGTGATTTAAGTTATAATGTGATTTAAGTTATAACATATATGTATAATGTCCTGACACGCAGTGAACCTCACACCCCCTAACTGCCCAGTTGTCCGAGTGGAAGTTCCCCGATACACGGCAGTACAGCGTGCAGCTGTGCAGCAGGGCTGTACTGGAACACTACACACTGTACCACGTGTGGTGTTAACACTTACAGTACACAACACTCTACTGCCTGCTCTCAGTGCCCGCAGAACACTGTGTCTGAAGCTGGTTAGTGGGATATTAACTATAGTAACTATAGTCACACTTCACATTTCACATGTTATCCTTTTAAACCAGTATTAAACCAACTATTTCATTGGATATTTCTCCCAAAACCATATCTTGTAAGTTGTATTTTATCGATATAAAGTGGATCAGGTGAAAGTAAACCTGACAATTCCACAGGATCAGCACACTGTACGTACTGCCCACAAGGTCATGTTTGGCAGGACTACTCCTGTGTTAGCTGTCAGGACCTGGATCACGACTCCTGTCCGAGATGTCCTCCAGGGTACAGCATCACTCCAGGTAACCTGAACTAACACCTTAGTAACACCTTAGTAACACCTTAGTAACACCTTAGTAACACCTTACCCCACACGTCTGATTTATTAACAACCACTTGAGTTCTTATAACCAACAAGTTCTGTTTCTCCCAATATTGGATAGTTGTATTTATTAATGCGTCCTTGTTTTAAGGTAACATGTGTATAGAAGACAGGGTGCCCGGACCCGAGAAACACAAGGCTGCTGCTAAGAACTGGTCCACAATAGTGCTGGGAATTGCACTTGTTGTGTTATTAGCATTCGTTATTATTCTAGTCTTCATGTGAGTGCAACACACAAATAACTTCTTTCTTATATGCAGCTATTCAAACACCAAATATACAAAACAATGGTCCCTACATCTTCTTGCAATTAAAATAACATACATCCAACACCTCTAACCATTTTCAGTTGAAAAAGTAATAAAACCCCTAAATCCTAACCCTACACCACTTATCCAGGTTGTTTAGAAACAGGAGACGAAGTCCCCCTAAGTCAGCAGCCCCGCTAGTTCCCTACCATGTAGTACGAGAGTCTGAGTCCTACTCTCCCTACGAGGAACCAATCTACGAGCGGCCTAATGCACCTGATCAAAATGTCATATACGACGATCCACGAGCAGTGCAGTACGTAGAACCAGATGCAGATCCAATGTATGTGCAGAGTGATAGGGGGGAAGTGACTGAATATGTGCAGGCAGAGACATGTGGTGAGCCGGGGTATTCTGTGTTCTGTGGTAATGCACAGGAACCTCAAGGGAACGGCTTTACTGACATAGATAATATCTATGACAACATTTGAGAGCAATGGCGAGGAGGGGATTTTTAATTTTAACTTGAACGTTTTTATTTTTATCGCAAGGCGAAATTACTTTTGTATTATTGTGTAAATTTTTTGTGTTTGAATGTTTGTTTTTATCTTATGTGTAAAACTGTTGAGGTTTTGTAGCTTTTAAAAGAATGTTTTAATGCATGAATAAAACCCAAGAATTAAACTTTCAGGTCAGAATATTTAAGGTTTACTAGACGCAAACTCAAATTCATCGTGATTGACTACACATAACTCAAATGATGCGTTTTACTACTAGAAGGATAAGCAGAGAATACTCTCTTAGTTGAAGACGTTCACTGCAGATATAATATGTAGATAAATTCACAGTAAACGTAAAAAGTAGAATAACGATCACAACTGACCTTGCTGATAGCTTTGACGGCCCGCATAGCTCCGTCCATAACAGCGATAACAGCAGACATTTGCTTTCCAGACACAATGTAAGTGGACTTTCCCGCAGCGCTAATCGAATCTACACTCCATGTAATACCTGAAAGTGAGCAGTAAAAAGACCCCATTTTCCTTTCTTAACACCGAATGTTTTATTCATAGACACTTTCAACTATCCAACAGAATTTAAAACTTACCAATATCTGAGAGTTTTACTTCAAGGAAGGAGTCTTCGCCGATCGTTTTGTAGAAAACTGAGTCACCTTGTAAACCGGCAATACTGTCTTCTGATGTCACAAGCCTGATTAGTGGTCAATTTTAGAAATAATTCCGGACCGTGTCCCGTGAATGCTAAGATATCTTGAAAAACGGCATAAACTTCCATTTCAAATTATACAGCAACGAGCAGTGACATAATTATTGGCGTACAAACGTACGTGCGCGCGGACCTAGTACATACGGCTCTTACATATCTAGAAAAACGTTTTCGCGTGTTCCTGAACAGAAGTACTTGAGACCAGAATTGCCGGATTTTTGCCGGATAATCGCGCTGCAAATTTCCCAAACTTTTCCAAAATATCACTTGAAATCATGGCCAACTGTCCGCAAAACTCGGCAAATATTTACAGGACAATACCAACTTCCACATACACCACTGTGAAGTAATATAGACATAGCGATCACTAGGTAATACCTGAAACACAAGGATAAGTTTTGTTATTTGGCGCTGATTTTTTTGCCGGATTCTTGAATAACGGAAAATCGTATTGATAGATTTTCTTTAAACTCTTCAAATAGTTAGAGCATTATAATACGGTCAATTTCAGGGAGTATAAAAAAATTTCTTCGTCTGTGAGTGGAGATACAAGGTCAAACACAAGAAAATATCTTCATTTGGCCAGAATTTTTGCCGGATTCTTGAATAACGGAAAATTTTATTGATAAATGTTCTTTAAACTCTTCAAATAGTTAGAGCACTATAATACAGTCAATTTCAGGGAGTATAAAAAAATTTCTTCGTCTGTGAGTGGAGATACAAGGTCAAACACAAGAAAATATCTTCATTTGGCCAGAATTTTTGCCGGATTCTTGAATAACGGAAAATTGTATTAATAAATGTTCTTTAAACTCTTCAAATAGTTAGAGCACTATAATACGGTCAATTTCAGGGAGTATAAAAAAATTTCTTCGTCTGTGAGTGGAGATACAAGGTCAAACACAAGAAAATATCTTCATTTGGCCAGAATTTTTGCCGGATTCTTGAATAACGGAAAATTGTATTGATAAATGTTCTTTAAACTCTTCAAATAGTTAGAGCACTATAATACGGTCAATTTCAGGGAGTATAAAAAAATTTCTTCGTCTGTGAGTGGAGATACAAGGTCAAACACAAGAAAATATCTTCATTTGGCCAGAATTTTTGCCGGATTCTTGAATAACGGAAAATTTTATTGATAAATGTTCTTTAAACTCTTCAAATAGTTAGAGCACTATAATACAGTCAATTTCAGGGAGTATAAAAAAATTTCTTCGTCTGTGAGTGGAGATACAAGGTCAAACACAAGAAAATATCTTCATTTGGCCAGAATTTTTGCCGGATTCTTGAATAACGGAAAATTGTATTAATAAATGTTCTTTAAACTCTTCAAATAGTTAGAGCACTATAATACGGTCAATTTCAGGGAGTATAAAAAAATTTCTTCGTCTGTGAGTGGAGATACAAGGTCAAACACAAGAAAATATCTTCATTTGGCCAGAATTTTTGCCGGATTCTTGAATAACGGAAAATTGTATTGATAAATGTTCTTTAAACTCTTCAAATAGTTAGAGCACTATAATACGGTCAATTTCAGGGAGTATAAAAAAATTTCTTCGTCTGTGAGTGGAGATACAAGGTCAAACACAAGAAAATATCTTCATTTGGCCAGAATTTTTGCCGGATTCTTGAATAACGGAAAATTTTATTGATAAATGTTCTTTAAACTCTTCAAATAGTTAGAGCACTATAATACAGTCAATTTCAGGGAGTATAAAAAAATTTCTTCGTCTGTGAGTGGAGATACAAGGTCAAACACAAGAAAATATCTTCATTTGGCCAGAATTTTTGCCGGATTCTTGAATAACGGAAAATTGTATTGATAAATGTTCTACGATGGCATCTGATACAATACAATACAATAAGTGGAGCACAGAAAGATAAAACCGTATGTGTAACAGATTAATCTTGCCTTGTTTACTCTAAACAATGTGTAATCCTTTGTTGGGTCATATTCCACTAAGGACTGAGGTTACCACAAACACGATGGCATCATTGTTTGGAATTGCCCTTGTACAGGCAACAATGTTACCAGATTGATAATTTGTTTACCCATGCACAATAGAGGTACTGGAAGCTGTATATCCGGAGTAAACTTTGATGGAGGGAAAATTTTGAAAATGTCCTACCGATAGGACATTTTCAGATTTCAGCTTTCCGCGGCCCAAATTTCACTGTTTTCACTGAATTTTTCCTGAATGGCCATCTAGTAAAGTCACTGAGGATGGTACAAGACACGATTGAGGTACTGAAAGTTCTATTTCCAAAGAAAGGCTTCATAAACGGGAATTCATTAGAATAAAAGAAGAGATTTTGAGAGATTTTTTAAGAGAAGCTTTCCTGCTGTCTCCTTGACCAAAATATCGCGGTTTTGGCTAAAAAAGGACTGGAACCTGTATATATCCGGTAAAAACTTTGATGGAAGGAAAATTTTGAAAATTTCCTACCGGTATAGCAGGACATTTTCAGATTTCAGCTTTCCGTGACCCAAATTTCACTGTTTTAACCAGTGGCGTAGTGTAGGGCCCCGCTGACCCCGCTGTGCGGAGGGCGCCATCTTTAATACTTTCAACACTACTATATAACAAATAATTTGAGGTATGAGATATGATAGACGAGCGTAAGTGTTGACGTGCAAAGGACTGCTGTGAGTGTACTTGAAGATTACTCATCCTCCTCCTTCTCATCAAAACTATTCTCATCAAAACTACTATCTGGACTGAAGGTTTTGCGTTTACAGTGTTTATTGTGCTTCTGAACATTGAACTCTTGATAATATAACTATGTCAAATAATCAGAGCTCAGACACTAGTCTCCACTCTTGTGAGCGCCCTTTAGAACATTTGAACTTTTCATTCCAGTCTGAAAAATCAGAGAACTGTAACAATTGTCTGTCAAAAGACATCAAGATTAACTTTTTAGAAAAAAAGTTGTCTTTATTGAATGAAATTATCAGAACTAGTGATCTCATTGCTCAGTACAATGATAGTCTCATATCAGATCAAACTCAAATACAAGAACAGAGTTTTAAGTGTGAAAATTTGCTGCTAAACTTATCAGAGGAGATTGAATGTGAGATCATAACCATTACCCCTCAGTCACACGTTGTTATCAATCAAGTAGAAGCGTTTGATGTAGATGACATTGTTGTGGAAGATGTTGTATCGGACAGTTTGTTTGTTGACAACGATGTCGTGGACAAGGTTGTTCCACAGGAGGTTGTTGGAAACGAGATTGTTATCAGTGAGATTGTTGTTCACGAGGTTATGGCAGACGAGGATGATGTGTCTGATCTCCCTGTATCTACTGCTACTGGTGAATCACGGATCAACACCCCTAAGCCCAGAGACAAATATCCAAACTTGGTCCCTGCCCCTGTCTACGATCCTATAACACCGGGGCCAATGAATATATCTGTAACTTGCTCCCCATCACCAGTGAAACCAGTTACCCTACTAGATGATGGTCCATTCTCTAAATTTTCACTTGATCTATTAATGGAAGAACTTGAGTTCAGTCACGGTTTTAAAAACAGGAAATCGGTTTATTTTGGTGACTTTCCCTATGAGTATTCAGGTGCAACACATGACCCAAAAAGTGTACACAATGATTCCTACCTTGCTAAACTCAGCTCCTACATTAATGTGATATTACCCAATTTCAGACACAATAGTATTCTCGTCAATCTATATGAAACTGGAGCAGAGTTCATGCCAGCTCATAGCGATTCTGAATCATGTATTGTAGAACACTCTGATATTGTAACCATTTCACTTGGTGCGACGAGAATACTGCAAATTAGATCAAACGGCAGCAATGAAGTTGTGGGCTCTGTGCAGCTTCAGCATGGAGATGTCTTCATTATGTCCAAATTGTCTCAGGCTGACTTTCAACATGAGATACTGCCAGACGAAATGTGTGATGAACCCCGGATCAGCATCACTCCAAGACTGATGAAGCCCCCTAGGATCACTCAGTCAACTGAGTTTGGTCTGCGTTCACCGCCCCCACCCATCCCTCATTCAGGACACAAACTGACAGACTCTTCTTCACCTGCACTCTCAGTTTGCAAACAGTCAGCTAAAGCTTCACAAAAGTCTGTCCTATTCATAAGCAGCTCTATGTTCAGGTTTCTTGATGCGGACAAGTTATCATCGTCCACTGTTAGTGCTAGTAAACTGTTTTATCCTGGGGCTGATGCCAAAGTAATGTTAAATAAACTAAAAACTGACCTACACTCTGTTCCATCCCCATCTATTATTTATATTATGACAGGAACTAATATAATGTGAACACAGTCTATTTTGGCTCAAAGTCACTGAAGGATGCAGCGGGTGACATTAGTAATCTCTTAAATTATCTCAAGTCAGTGTATCCGAATGCAACAATTAATGTTCTCAATATTCTTCCCAGGAGTACAAAAGGCCGCAATGATGTTGTGGCAGAGCTGAATAAGGTTATTCAGGATATGTGTAGCAAAGATTCTTGTTTTAATTACATTAGCACCCATAATTTATTTAACTATAATAGAAGTGGATTCAGGAAAGAATTTTATTTTGCCAGACCATCTGCAAAAATATCTGATAACTGTCACCTCAATACAAGCGGTGTTATTCGACTCAGTGGCGTAACTTTGCCTGTTGGCGCCCCCCTGCCGAAAAAAGCGCCCCCCTGTTGGCGCCCCTCTCCCCTTTTGGTGCCCCTCACTAAAATTGAACAAATTAGGTGATTTTAGGGGATACGCCGGTAAAATCTCTAAAAAAATGTGTATCTAGAGCAAAACGCGCAGTTTTGCTAGTACTTTAGTTAAGTTTTCGAAATTGTCCCACATTCAAACGACGATTTGGCGCCCCCCTAAGACGGCGCCCCCCTGCACAGCGGGGTCAGCGGGGCCCTTCGTTACGCCACTGATTCGACTTGCTAAATTTCTGAAGTATTGGGCCCATAAGCAAGTTTGAATTTTCAGAAAGATTGTTACCATTTATTTCATCTAGATAAGGGATAATTACACATTGTTCCTCATGTTTATTGAAGTTTTAGAAAGTTTTGTTATTATCTCATACAAATTTGCCAGTTCTGCAATTTATCTTATTCTGACAAGTTTATAGCAGCATAAATTGGAAAAATTTTCATGCTCTCACAGCAGTTCTTGCATTAACCCGTGCATTAGTAAAATCACAGTTTCATACCATGCCAAAAAGCTTGCAGTGGGACATTGCAACATGCAGGGAGGACTAACAGGTATGCCAAAATGTCTTGAAATCCAAGATCTAATCTGGAAAGAGAAATTAGATGTTTTATGCCTGAATGAAACAAATCTTAAGTCGGATATTGACTCAGCCAGTCTAAACCTACCCAAGAATTTTACTTTTATCCGCAAAGACCGTTCTAACGACAATGGTCATGGGGGATGTGGCATTCTCATCAGTGAGCACATAAAGTTTAAAATGATTCAACTAAACTTAGTTTTGCAATATGACCAAATCGAGGCTATTTGGATCCATCTTACAGATTGCAATATTTTCATCTGCTGTTTCTACAGATCTGAGTTGTTTAGTCCTCTTGACAAATTTTTAGATTATATGACAGACTGCATGATGAGTATAGGAAGTAAGAATGTTATTTGGCTGGGTGATGTAAATGTAGACCAAAACAACATCAGCAGTATGAACTATAAGAAATTAGACATTACAATGAAAATGTTTGGAATGGTACAGGTAGTTCAGGATATTACCCGCATTGCTAAACTAGGAAACAGAATCACAAAGACCACAATCGATGTTGTCATAACAAACACTTACTCCAAGTTTCTTGACTGCAAAGTCCTTGATGATTGTATAGGAGATCATCAGGTCGTAAAGTTCATTGTCGATTTCAATGTGCATAAGGCCTCAAAATTCAAGAAGTTACTAATAAGAGATCACAGCAAAATGAATGTTACTGCTCTTAAAGAATTTTTGGAAACTTGTGATTATAGACCAATAATAGATTCAACTAGTCTGAATGATGCAGTTGATGGTTTAAACGAACATATTGATCACTACTATGATCACTTCTGTCCAATTAAACAAATTAAGTGCCATAGTGATTACATCCATAAGCCATCTCCAGAATTTTTAGAAAGTAAGAAATTGAAAGGGAAACTTTACCGTAAATTTTTAACACACAACAAGAACAGACGTATACATCCAAATGGTCTTATACACTGTAATAAATGTGACTCATTATGGATGGCATATAAACGGCAGAGAAACGATTCAACCTATTTGTCTAGAATTATTAGGAAGACTAACTTAGCAACAGAACTGAAAGCCAAGTGTGCCATGAATGATCTAAAGGGTGTATGGAAAACGATAAAAACAGCATCAAATCTGCCTGTTAAAGCTAACAATATCAATAACAATCTTGATGCTGAAACCACCAATAAATATTTTGCTGAAATAGGTCCAAAGATCCAAGCAGAAGTGCAGCTGGAAAATGAAAATGAATTTCTATCTTATCTACAAAATGAGCAGATTGACAACGAGACCAGCTTGAATAGCTTTACTGAAATAACTGAGTCCAATATCTTAGACTATGTGGCAAGTATCCCTTGTAGCAAATCCACTAATGATCATATACCATTGAGAGTGTTTAGACAAATTTTACCTGCATTTATTGCTCCATTAACACATCTTGTAAATTTGAGTTTATCCAGTGGCATCATGCCAAACAGCTGCAAGGTTGCAAAAGTCACCCCAATCCATAAGGATGGTGATACTGAGAATCCTAGTAATTATCGACCAATCTCAATTTTACCGATTCTTGGAAAGTGCATCGAATTTTGTGTGAACTCCCAACTGACTCAATATCTTGATGAAAAGGGAATACTTTCAGAGCATCAATATGGTTTCCGTTAAGATCACTCTACAACTTATCTCATGTTAGATCTGTTTGATCGTATATTTACTGCTAAGAACAGTGCCAAGCATCCTGCAATTATCTTCCTGGACATCAGAAAGGCATTTGATACTGTTAACCATGATATTCTAATTCAAAAGCTGAAGCATTATGGAATAAAAGATACTGCATTGAGCTGGTTTAGGAGCTTCCTCACAGATAGATTACAGCAAACTAGAGTTGGGAGTAGGATAAGCAGTGTACATTCATTGAACTCTGGAGTGCCTCAAGGAAGTATATTAGGACCAATTCTATTCAGCATTTTTATCAATGACCTGCCTAATGCATGCCTATATTCTAAACCTTATCTATTTGCTGATGACGGTGCATTATATTTTGACAATATATCTAGAGGAAACTATGGTAACATCAAACAAGAGTTGAAATTAGTTATCAGATGGCTTCAGGCTAATAAACTATCCCTGAATAATGAAAAAACAAAACTAATGATCCTTGACTCTAAGCCTAACCTTGATGCCATCCTTGTTGAATTTGTGATGACCTTACTTTGATAATCTGTGAAACTAAATCCCATAAGTACCTTGGACTTATAGTTGACAGCAGATTGACATTTAATGAACATATTGATTACATTAAGAAAAAGATATCCAAAAGAATTGGTGCTATGTATAGATCAAAAAAACTTCTCCCTCTTAAGTTCAGGAAGATGTTTGCTAATGCACTTATGTTGCCACATTTTGACTACTTAGACACCATCTGGTCAAGAACATATAAAAAACGACTAGGAGAGTTAGATATCATGTACAAAAAGGTTGCTAAAATAGCCCTAGATGTAAACATCAGAGAGAGGTCGGTTAATGTATACAAAAATATGGGATGGCTTCCTCTCCATTTGAGACGACAGGTTCATCTTAGCTCATATATGTACCGTATAATCAATGAAACATGTCCAAAGCATTTTATCAGGAAATTCTCGTATATTTCTGGTGGATCACGTGAGGCAGAAAACTGCAATCTTTATACTCCTAAATCAAGATCTCACAAGGAGTTTAACTATCTAGGAACTAAGGCCTGGAACATATTACCAAAGTCCCTTAGAGAGTGTGACGACGTTAAGAAATTTTCTAAGTTATACAAAGAAACTCTTATGAATATGGTGCTAACTGATGAGAATTACCAAGGGGATAACTCTTACGATAAATTCATGATCCCACCCAACACTAGCCAATGTATCTAGGCAGTTATGTTATTTCAGTTAAGTTATCTCAGTACATAAGTGAATCCAATCCAGCCCCTGCAATCAAAGTATTTCCATGCCTATTAAGCTATTACAGGAAATTAGGAACATCAGTGGAAAGGTGCACTGTCAATCATTATTGCTCCATACCTCCAGTCCTCCTGTTATGTGCAATTCTCACTGCTATGTATGCTCCTCATTTGTATCAATTATATTGATGCTACATTGTTATAGAATATGAAATAATTTTCAACCGGTTTAATTTATTAACTTAGTGTAAATAGCAAGTTTGACAAAGGGATTACGTTTATTTTACGCGGAGTTCGTTTAAGTTTAGTATTGTAAATAGTTAATTTGACGAAGGGAATACGTCTATTTTACCCTGAGTTATGTTTTAGTTCAATCTTGACACAATTTTGAAATCATAATTTAATTATTTTATATATTATATGTATTGTCCATAACTAGGGTGGCCTGCTAACAGAACCATGATCTGCCTTGATTCATCCTTCAGCACAGAGAAAAGCTCCTTTTTTTATACATTATGATTACAGAGGATCTGATATTTAGATATATATTGCTGTGCTGTAAAAATTGACTTTATTTATTTATTTATTTATTTAGGGTGGCGCCAAATCGTCGTTTAAATGTGGGACAACTTTGAAAAATTTAACTGCAGTACTAGCAAAACGTTTCGATCTAGAAACACACTTTTTAAAAGATTTTACCAGTTTATCCTCTAAAATCACCTAATTTGTCCAATTTTACGTTTCTACTCTAAGAGGGGGAGGGGCGTTAACAGGGAGGCGCTTTTTCAGCGGGGGGCGCCAAAATGCAACGTTACTGCACTGGTTTTGACTGAATTTTTCTTGAATGATCGTCTATAAATATCACTGAGGATGGCACAAGACACGTTTGAGGTACTGGAAGTCAATACCTCAGTGCAGTGTGCGGTGTGTGTTCGATAAATAAAGTTCAACTTACTTAATCCCCTGAGTGGTCGACGGCAATGCAGCTTCAGCGACTTGTACAGTATCATGATTTGCATCGTATTTAATGCTCACTCCTTGAGCTGTTGAAGGGTCGAACAGAAATCCCTCAACTTTAGATCCGGATCGCATAAATCCCGCAAACTTCATACTGGGCCTAAAAGAGGAAATAGCTGTGATACAGTGCAATTATTATGTTTACTAGTCTATAATCTGTTACATCAAAAAAAGGGGGGAAAAATCAAATGAATTTAAGACATCAGTTGATAGAACAGAATCTAAATTTGTAATAATTTACTCACGAGATATCGATAGGAGAAGAGCCAATGTTATCATTTTTGCCCCAGTAAACATTGTTACGAGTGACCCTTATCATCTTTTCATACGACAGGGAGGCGTAGAAGAGGAGACCATCTTCTTCGTGGTGTGGTGTATCCAGTGTTAACATTCCTGGAGGAGAATATACATGATTTAAATTTAATTTGTTTTCAACAAAATGAACTACAGTGTTTTTAGAATCTTGATATTATCCTTTTAAAAGTAATGTCAACTCACTGTCATAATACAAAGTAACACTTGTGCCACGTCGACAGTAGTCACATCTATGCAGTAAACGCTTGACTATTGTTGCAGGCAGGCTCATCAAATAGAATAGATGAGTTTTTACTGCCACATTCGAAACAAATCTATTTCATTTATGTCTGTACCCGAATGCCTACCTGTTAAGATATCCCAATGTCTGTACCGGTTGGTACTGTGGTATGTTACCACCTCCTCTCCGCATATCACAGGATCCACCGTCACTGTGTCCTCCTCATTGAACTTGCGTCTCCACATGATGGCACCAGTTTTTGGGTGCAGTGCTGCAAGGATGTTCTTCTTGGTAATCACTACAATAGCACGGGAGTCTGCAATGCGGTGCTCCACTGCTCCCACATATCGCTGGTGCCTGAATAGAGTTGAATTTTAGATATGTACTATACAATCTAGATCCAGATACTTTCAGTGACTTAAATTATTTCTCGACAGTAGAACATTCAGGATTTTAAAATAGAAAAATTAATTAACTAACCAGTCATAGAGCCCAATCTGATCCTCGTAGATAGATTGTACAACGGCTATTAGGACCAGAACTAGAAGGACAGTCCTTTTGAACATCCTAAGAAAAGCTCGAGATAAATAATAAATCTGAGTGAGAGGTTAAATCCTATATTTTCTGTTTAAATGATTTAAAGCAAAAGACTGACATTAAAAAACTCTGGCTAAAATTATTAACTAATGCTAAAAATATGTTTCATCAATGTGTTGTCTAAAAAAAATCAGAGAAGGATTGTGACTATTTGTTCTAGCAACACTTTTTTAAATATACATTAGCTTTTATGAAAAACATCTTGAAAAATCTACAGGATGAAGAAAGGTGACCAGTAACTCTGTTCATGTTGGTCTTGTAAAATTACTCATGTAATAAATATTGCCTTGACATGATTAATTTGAGTAGGCCAGGACTTCAATCTTACTATATTATTTTTGGATTCGCCCTGCAAAAAATGTAACTGAGAGCCACTCTCCCGGCCCTGGCAAGCCATAGATCTTTCTGGTTAATGATTTTGTTGTACAATCAACATCTAAAGGGACTGGTCAAAAACCCCAATTAAAGGGAAGCTCAAAAAGGTCTACTTAAAAGTCAGTGACATGGAACAAATTATAACGTTCAAGAATATAAATCTACTAATTGTGGGTATATTAAAGTATATTAAAATGTAGGTTTTTTTTCCGATTTTGACCCGGGGATATACAGGGTGGGCCAAAAGTCAGAGGGCATACGTTGGCCTTAATAGCTCCGCCGTGTTTTATATTTGAGAGCTGTTGCTTTGCAGATGGCATACTGTACTTACTGGTTCGAGGATTCTGTCGTCAAAATTTGAAAATTCGAATATTTTAGACCACGCCCATTCAATATTAAAACACCTACCTTACTCGGGAATATAATGACTGGGATAAAATGGTGGGTTTTGGAAAATTCCGCCATATTTTTCCCGGTCATTAATTTTCCCAGTCATAAATTAACCCGCTATAATGTTCCCGAGTAATGTAAACTAATAGTAATACATTTTGATGCTTGGTGGGCTTTGGAAAATTCCGCCATATTTTTCCCGTCATTAATTTTCCCAGTCATAAATTAACCCGCTATAATATTCCCGAGTAAGGTATAGGCCATATTGTTTTCTCTGAACATGCTGAACGCCTAATTTTTTCAGAGACAGTAGATTATTAAATGTTGCTTATGATCTGAAAACATGAGGCAAAACGGATTAGAAATGACGAAGTTATCAAGCATTTTCGGCATTGTGACACGACACCGTGACACAACACCTTAATTCGGCACCCTTAACAATTCCCATAACATTTTACGGGTGGTTAATTGGGTCACCTAATCACGTGATTAGGTAAACCAATCACCTGATCACACGTCATGAATAAACTTGTTATGCTTCATATCTCAGTCATCTGAGAAGCTACAATTCTTTTTCCAGGACAAACGTATTTCGAATGGCCAAACACAATTCATTAAAATTTAGCTTGATCCGACTATTCAAACTATCAAATAAATGCAAAAATGAACCTTCATTTGAAAAAAAAAATGAACTCGAATATTTTTCGATTTGACAAATTCCTCGAACCAGTGGTGGTAAGTCATACCAGAAAGAATTGTTTCAAATGGGCACTCAGTGACTGAGCTATTAAGGCCAACATATGTCCACTGACTTTTGGCCCACCCTGTACTTTAACATGGTTGCCCATATTAATTAAGCGAACTAAGGTGGTCTCAACAAGTATGAGACAAGAAATCAAATTTATAACAATGAAATGCTCATTTTGTGAATTAACTTTCTGTCTTTGACTGTTAATTGGGTTGTGAAAGGATAGGCAACAAACGGTACAAGGAATTCGCGGGCCTGAAAGCTTTAGTACACACTAAAACGCTAGTCAAGATGAGTTTTTGGAGACAAGGCTCTTACTTGGACCAGATAACAACTGTTGGGAAAGATAAATTGTTGTTTCTAAAGAATGGCAGTTTTGTTGTGACAGAAGGTCGACACTCAATTTTTCAGGAGGTGACCGGGACATGATTTCAGGCCTGACCAGGACCGGGACCGGGATACAAAATGTGACTTGACCGGGACAAGGACCGGGACCGGGACTGAGATTTAGTGAGATTATCAATTTACCGGGACCGGGACCGGGATGAAAAATGGTACTTGACCGGGACCAGGACCGGGATAGCTCAAAATTGCCAATCCCGGTACCGGGAATTCCAGTCAATTACTGGTTAATTTGTGATCATAATTTATTACTCAAACTTGTTTAGCAATTTTAAACATTGTTTGGCTCAGAGGATGTTTAAAGATGAAATTCACAATGAATGAAAGGAAAAACTTAGAATCACAGTGAATGAAATTATGTTAAAGATCCCGGTCAAAATCCCGGCAATTTTGAGTGATTGACCGGGACCGGGACCGGAATGAAAAATGTGACTTGACCGGGACCGGGATAGCTCAAAATTGCCAATCCCGGTACCGGGATTCCCGGAACCGGGAATCCCGGTCACCTCCTGCAATTTTTTTCATTCAAGGCTATAAAATGCAACTTGGAGGTGAAGGGCTGGTGGAATATTACATACATGTTACATGGCGAGATCTCCATCCAAAAGGATTAGTCTGCGTCGACTGCGTCATTACTTTGTATTATACAACTTCGGCGGGTAACATTTCTCCATCCCTTTCGGTCTGCAGCTAATCTTCTCATACAATCAATCGTGAGTCCATTACGATCCAATCTCTGCTCAGCATCCTCAATGAATACATCATTTAAGCTCTTCCTAGGCCTGCCTCTTGATCTCTTCCCATGCTTGGGTTTCCATTCAAGTAAATAGTTGGGCAACCGATCTTCAGGCATTCTACTGACATGTCCAAACCAACGCAGCCGTTTTGTTGTTATTATGTCAGCAAGGGCAGTTATTGATGCCCTTCTTAAAACATCCTCATTACTTACTCGATGGAACCACCTCACTCTCAGGATTCTTCTTAAGCAGTACTGATGAAAAGACTCCAATCTTCTTGTCTGCACTTGAGTCGTGTTCCATATCTCACATCCATAGGTCAGAATGGTAAGAACAGCTGCGATGTAGATTCGCATTTTGTTGTTAATGCTTATGTTCTTATTCTTCCAAATGTTGTTGAGTTGGTTAAAAGCTCCGGTTGCTTTTCCAATCCTGACACTTATTTCTTTATCAATCTTGCCATCTGATGTAATTTTGGCACCCAAATAAGTGAATTGAGTGACCTGCTTTGCAGAGTTTCCATCGACAGTTATATCTATGGTCCTATTCTCTGGGAGTGGGTGCTGCGATGTATCTTTCCCAATGACCATGATCTCTGTTTTCTTTGCGTTCATCTTTAAACCCCCAAGTCCACAGTATTTCGCAATATTGTCCGTAGTTTCTTGCAGTCCTTCAACAGTGTCATCCATTCCTGCGATGTCATCAGCATAGTCAAGATCAATGACACATTTTTCCGGTTGTCTGGAACTTTGTCTGTACTGAAGTGTAAAACCACGGGATATATTCTTAAACTTCTCTGCAAGTTCTAATCCCCAGTTAAGTACAAGATTAAAAATAGGGGGCCCTTGCACATCACCTTGTCCAGTCCCCGAATCGACATCAAACCATCTTGTCAATTCTCCATTGACACGAACTGCACTTTCAGTTGCTCTAAAGAACGCTTTGAAAACATTGATATATTTTGTCGGAAGACCATAATGTTCAAAAGCTTTCCAAATAAAGTCACGATTGATTGAATCAAAAGCAGCTTTAAAATCAATAAAGTTTATGTACAAAGGGACGTTGAATTCTATACAATTGTGTATTATACAATGAAGTGAGTACAGCTGATCTATACAAGAACGGTTTCTCCTGAAACCACACTGATTCTCTCTGAGTAATTTTTCAAGCCCATTACTCAGTCTTTTTAACAACACAATTTGGAATAACTTTGATATAGTTGAGCGTAAAGTTATACCTCTGTTATTGTTGCAATATGTGAGGTCCCCTTTCTTTGGGATGATGGTGATTATTCCTTTTCTCCAATCATTAGGAATATCCTCACTTTTCCACACAGTTTCAAAAAGATCCTTTAACCAAGGCAGAAGTCCAGGAGAACCGTACTTTAACTGCTCATTTGAAATTTCATCAATTCCAGCACTCTTGTAGTTCTTCAACTTCTTGATAGCTTCCTCAATTTCAAACAAGGACGGTGGTTCATCATCATTACTAAGGTATTCAAAAGAAAGTAACTTTTCATCCTGATCCAATATAGAGAAATCCACCGCATTTGCTGCTGGCGTCAAGAGTTCTTCAAAATATTCGGCCCAGCGATGTGATTGAGCTTCGGGATCTGATATAAGCGTCCCATTCTTATCCCGCACTGCCGCAGATCTGTTTACCCTCTTGTTTGTTAGGGATTTTATTTTCTGCCAAACATCTCTTTGTTGACCCTGCTTGGCAGCATCTTCTAATTCCTCAGCTATTCTAACAGCCCAAGCATTATCATCTCTTTTACAGTTCTGCCTAACAAGACCGTTAATCCGTGAGTACTTAGCACGGTTCTCAGCAGTACTGGGTTTCTTTTTAATCTCCCCTCGTTCTTTTAGGAGATTCTTAGTATCCCTTGAGAGATGTTCTGTTCTCTTTTTCCGGCCCCTTTCACCCAGAACTTCAAATGAAACATCAGTTATTATATCTCTTAAATTTTGCCACTGTTCTTCTAAAGGAGAGTTTTCATGCTCCTGATCGTTGTTATAGTACTCTTCAGCTATTCTGTTACTATATTCCTGGCTCTTAGATCTATCACGCAGGTGCTCTAAAGCAGGCTGTCTTACACGCTTCTTTCTTTTCTGAGGACACTTAAGTTTAATAGATACATATCCTCTAACCAGATAGTGAGTAGTATTTATATCTGCTCCTCTCATGCTCCTGACATCAAGCAAAGAATGGCTCCATCTCGTCGAAATACACATATGGTCAATTTGAGTGACGGTGTTACCATTTGGGGATCTCCATGTTGTCTTGTGGATATCCTTGTGTTCAAAGAGTGTGCCTCCAATCGTC